TGTCATTTTCTTCCAATTTTCTTAATCTTCCCACGTTTCCCCAAATTTTGCCAAATGAGCAAATAGGAGCAACGCTTATGCTTTGCGAAAAATTATCTGAGACTTGATTTTTTTATATTTGCGAATAAATACAAACTCAAATTCATAGGCAGTAAATTCGTTTTCAGACTTATAAAGAGGTTTATGAATTTTCGTAATAAGTGAAGTAGATTTGATGTTTCACACCCTTTTTTGAAGCTTCGTAGTCACATGGCCCCAAAAATATATGACTCAAATCTTCTTTGAACGACCTTTTTTGGACAAAAAAGCTTTAACTCCTTGTTCGTAAGCACAGTAAATTATTGATCAGTATGAGAAAGAATGCTAAACTGGTGAAGAAAAAATCTAGATGTGACCCACACCTATAGGTGCGCTGTAGATATTTAATTAAGTTAACTATTAGTCATTTAATCTTTTATTTATTGGTATCATTTTTTTGAGGTTGCTGTGATGGACGTTGTAATTCCGTGAAAAGTTGTGAAAATCATACTTGTTCTAGTCGGAACTAAAGCATTCATCTTCTGCAAGGATAGCATTCAGCTTTCTTATTAATTTTATGCCTGAATGCGTCGCGAAACAAACTCTTAGTCAATTGGTTATTGTATGTATTCATCATATAGAATTTGATTCGCAAACAGCAAGCTTTACTTCGTTTGTATCCTGAAAAGAGTTTATGAAAGTTTACAAGAAGTAAACAATATGATATTCTGCATATTTTTGCGATTATCTGGATAGCAATAAGACTCTTGTAGTATGCGCATTCCTACTCTAGACAACAGAAAAGTGGAGGGAACAACTGAGAACTCCTACGACTACACCATAAGACTCATTTCTGAGACGTCCGTGAAAAACAGGCTTCTTCCTTGATTATGCTATCGAATGTGCAACTCAGATAACGTAAATAACTAAAGTTCTGCAGAATGGAACTCGGCATATCTCTCTCGCAGAACAATTCAGTATCACCAGTAATTCTACTTATCTATTCAACTAAGCAGCTTCCAATAGTGTGGTACGTACAAGCCAGAACTGCTGAAGAAATTCTAGGCTTACACTCTCACGTAGATCTGAAGCGGATTAACGTTTCATCCGCTCAGTCGGGCTAAGGAAGAGTAGTAAGGAGTGGGCAAGACCACTTTCTTTAGGACACTACAACAAGCATTTGGAATCAAATTATTTTTTTTATTTTTTTAGCTCGGCTATTCTATCAAATTTAATAACTTATTTACACATCTACATTTTCCACTGTCATCATAGCATAATCTTGCTGCATGCATATACTTCAAAAAAGGTCATTGTGTCCAATTTTGAATCGATCAAATTGCATTGCTTAGTGTGTATTTATTAGAAAAAGATTTATGAAAGGCCTTACAACTCGTAACTTCGCTGCGATGCTCTTGAATAAATTCATATATGGGCATCTATTTTGAGTGTTTGAGGACCTCTAAAACATCCGAAATAAAGTGTTCTCATCAAATTTCATTGTTTCACAGCAAAAGAAAAATATGTAGTGCGTCGTTTTTGCGTATCTTATTGTTAGTAGTTCCTGAATGTAGTAATTTAGTCATGAGCCGCACGCAGACACGAATGCGGAGGAAGCATTACGAGAAAAGCTGGAGGGAGAGATGGGAAGTCTTCAAGCACAATCGACTAAAACCGAGTAAGTTACAAAAATTTGGGAAACAAAGTATTGTTTGTAATCACGTTGTTGGAATCGACTTTTTGTCGCCATGGGCCGACAATTTCGACTTTAATCTCTAGCCGTATAACAAACATCTTTCGAGCGCATCAATAGGCTCCGGGACCGAGCTCCTTTCGGGCCGTGTGTGTGGGCCTGCCCTACCTGGCCCCGCCCTACCTGAGCTCCAATAGAAGTGTCACCCCGAAAGTTTTGAAAGTGCAGTCTTCCCTGGATGTCACTTGCGATTGTCTGAGCTGATGAAGGTTTCCCAATTAGCTCAATGAGAATTTAGGAACCCACATTTACCTAAACACTGGCTTATTATCCTGCATATTGAGGATGATGCATTGGCCCTGCAAAAAAATAGGAAAATTTATTTCACAAATGTTAAAAAAATAAGTTTCATCCTCTTTTCAGGTGTATAAGCCGCACTTTTTAAATAAGCGAGCTGTTCAGCCGCTTCACGGTGTTTCGGAAAGCAATCGTTGTGCCGCACAATTTTTCTTAGGCAATAAGCAGCACGAATAAAATCCTTAGCTCGCGAAGTCCTTTTCCGAGTTTGGGCTGGGCCAAATCAAAAAAGTTCCCCGCAGCTTATACAGCTGTACTCGTTTTATAGCATGCGATAAATCTTGCATCTTGTTACCCTCGTCAGCGTTTATCCAAATCAAAATCATTGAGTCGAATATAATCCAAAAACCATAACTATTCGTAGAGACCTCTGTGTAACAGAAACCTTCAAGGATCGAAACACATTCACATCTCAGTAGACGTTTTAGTGATTCTGGCGACTAAAATTTAAAAACCATTCAGCCAAGCCAAGGCTCAGGAGTCGAAGAGACCAATCCAAACAATCTGCATATCATTAGATGCAGCATAAGGCCCCGGCCAGACTTCACGCGATTTGATCTTCGCGAATGAATCGCGACGAGACAACTGATACGAGTTCATTGCATGCCGGCCAGCTTGCATTTCGGTTGTGGTGCTTTTCCAGCCCGAAATTTTTGAATGTGAAATGAAAATGAATGGAAATCTTGGCAATTAGATCGCGACGATTGAGTCGCGTGAAGTCTGTCCGGGTCCTAAAACCCTGAACCTGAATCTGCATTTCTTACCTGCTGAACACTTTTGTGGACGAGGCATAAACCATTAAGACTCATTATTTTGCCAAGAAATCGTGCTTGCAAAGTGCGAATCTGACCGTACAGGGATATTCGGCTCAGTGCTGGGCCAAATTCTTATATATAAAGCTGAATGTCTGTTTGTCGGTCTGTCTGTCTGTCTGTCTGTCTGTCTGTATGTCTGTCTGTACGTATGTTCCGAATAGAAAATTCCATTTCTGAACCGATCGGGACCAAACTTGGCACACATACACTTCGGGCCCCAGCGGGTATCATAGGCTACTTTTCGTCATCGATCGATATTGATTTTATCGATTTTTTGCAAAATTTGTGCTATTGGGCTGGGAGTTGGCACAGGGGGGTAATCGAGCATGCTGATCACCAGGGTAAAGCGGGGGGTGCGGCACTCGACCGTCGGATACGACCCCCCCCCCCGCCCTGATTGCTGTCTTAATAAGACCCCCCTCCTAAACTATACACTTAAGATAGTATTACCTGAAGGCTCTGTCAAACATAATGGACAACATATCCATAATTAGCATGTCAAATACCCCCTGTAGACAAAGTGTGAGCGAATTCTGAAGATTCAAGATACTAGGCTACCTAAGTGAAATGGTCAAATTCCAACATGGTTAATTTTGTTTTAAAGGTGAATTAGCTATCCGTTTTTGCACTCAAGACAAAGCACTACTCCTTCTTTGTACACCTCAGGAATCCCGCTTCAGAAGACCTCCAAACTGTGGAATTAGAAGCCAACCAAAATCTCATTTTTCCCATTTTTCGCTTTTGATGGCTGTGCTTTCACCAAATATTACTCAGAGCTAAGAAGACGAATCAGGCTCAAAACATCCGTATGGAATCTACGAGGTTTAGGCTATCGATTCATATAAATATTGTCCGCTAAAAATGTTTTTTTGATATAGTTAATGGCCTGCGGCACCCCTGCGGCACCCCTGCGGCAGCCGCAGGTTTTGAGGGGGGGTGCCGCAGGCCATTAACTATATCAAAAAAACATTTTTAGCGGACAATATTTATATGAATCGATAGCCTAAACCTCGTAGATTCCATAGGGATGTTTTGAGCCTGATTCGTCTTCTTAGCTCTGAGTAATATTTGGTGAAAGCACAGCCATCAAAAGCGAAAAATGGGAAAAATGAGATTTTGGTTGGCTTCTAATTCCACAGTTTGGAGGTCTTCTGAAGCGGGATTCCTGAGGTGGACAAAGAAGGAGTAGTGCTTTGTCTTGAGTGCAAAAACGGATAGCTAATTCACCTTTAAAACAAAGTTAACCATGTTGGAATTTGACAATTTCACTTAGGTTGCCTAGTATCTTGAATCTTCAGAATTCGCTCACACTTTGTCTACAGGGGTTAATTGACGTGCTAATTATGGATATGATACGAATATCATGTTATCGCTATAATCAGATCACCTAACTACGACCCCCTCCCCTTTTGACTCCTCAATACGACCCCCCCTCTGCGGCGTGCCGCACCCCCCGCTTTACCCTGCTGATCACCCCCGTGGGGGTGATCAGCATGCTCGATTACACCCCCCTGCCAAATTCCAGCCCCCTAGCTCAAATTTTGCAAAAAATCGATAAAATGACATCGATCGATAACGAAAAGTGGACTGTGACACCCGCCGGGGCCCGATGTGTATGTGTGCCAAGTTTGGTCCGGATCGGTTGAAATGGAATTTTTTATTCGGAACAAACGGCGGAGCCGGGTAAGCCAGCTAGTCAGCTATATTACTTGATATAGCCCGTACCCAAAAGTGAGCTAAACGGGCAATAATGTGCCAACTTTCGTATTTTTTATATACGGTATTTTCGATATCAAGCTGCTCCTAACATCGCCTGCAAAGGGGTTCAGCACAAAAAAGGACAGATTTGTAGTCAGCACTTCCATGCTATTTCGAAGGGTATGCAGTTTTTTTGGATTGTCCACTTCGACTTCTGACCATTTCCTTGTCTTTATTGTCTTTAATCTGCTTTTATCGTCGCGTGATGCTAACAGAGCGCACTTTCGAAAAGCGCGGAATTCTCCGTATTCAATATGTATCAAACCTAACAATACTGAAGTTGGAAGAAGTTGCAAAAATCAAAAATTTTGGTGCAAAACTTTGTAACGGATATGACATAGCTAAGCCTAGAATTTTCAGGTTGTTGGGAGCTCATCGCTTATGGAATCTTGCTGAACATCATTGGAGCCGGCTGCCTTTTATTGAAGGCCATTATCGATAAAGGAAATACTGAGGCTCTGATTCATCAGAAATTAGAATCACACGGTACTGGTATGCTCATCATTGGAAGCCTTGTCTTTGTTTTTTCAGAAAACGCCCTTATTGACATCTTTGGCGACAACATTGGTATTATGTAACTCTATAACGCGATCAAAGATTGTAGCATTTGAAAGTGTTTTTGATGTAGCTGATTTGTTGATTGTAAGAATAAATTTGAGATGGCTCAAAACAATTATTCTGGCATGAAAGTATACTCTTCCATTTAGGCATCAAGCCAACTGAAGAAGATAAGCAGAAAGGACCTCATGTTGAAATTAGCTCTGTGCTAGTTGTAATCATAACAATGGCGGGAAGAATGGCTAATGTGGTCGGCACAATGAAGTTGTACAAGGTATTAACTTATGACTTAGAAGATTCGCAGGTTAATATAGTGTCTTTGCGCTGCCGGCAACATTTGCGCGCGAACACGGCATTGTGCTCTCCGTGGTTAACAGCATTCACAATCACAGCACTTGTTTTCGCACAAATTTTGTCGTCACCGTAGGGACACTAAATTGACAATTAAACCTTGCAATGTACCCGCTCCTTGATCTAATCCCTCTTTTCAGGGCCTTGGTAAGTTCTTCTCGGATAGAAAACGGAAAAAATTCAGAAAGGCTACTGAACGGGTACAAAACGGCGAAACCGAAGTGGAGATCACCGAACTGTTTGCGGACTGTTGCCAATGTTTCTAGTCATTCTTTGCTCAGAAATTCATTACCGGTAGTAGCATGTTGTGCAATTAGGAACATATATTTATAAATCCATTGATTATTGTAATTGAGATTGAAGAATGTAAGCCTAGTGCAAAAATCCAGTAGCTTACCGAAAGGAAGCGGCGGGGGAGGGGGCACCCCCCCTCAGAGAACGGGTCGCGAAATTTTTGAAAATTACTTACATGAGTTATAAAATTGTGCAAATGACTTGTTTATACTTTGAAATAATCAAAATTTTCAAAAAAATTTTAAAAATTCATTTCAGCCTTACAAAAAAAATTTTTTTCGGGGGCGTGGCTGACGCTACGCCCACTTTTTCCGAAATTTCGGGGTTATGAGCCCGCGAAAATTTTAAAAAGCATACAAGAATTTTTCAAAGTGCGTGGCTAACGCCACGCACCTTCATTAGAAAAAATTTTTTGTCGAGCAGCCGAAATCTGGGTACGCCACTGCAAAGATCCGTTATTGAACGAAATGGAGATAATGGAAGTAATCAGCACAACGTTTTGAAAAATTTTTTTACTTCCTTGAATTGGACATTTTCATCTAAATAGTTGGAAAGAAGATTCCGAATAAGTTATTCTAATCCTTACAACGATCCAATCTGGATACATATACTAGTACAGTCGTTTTCAATACGTATTGATTTTTTCTACCATATGCCTTCCAGCCTCAACATGAGTGGATTGGTGTGGATTGGTGTGGATTGGTGAGGCGCCGCATCGCTTCGGGTTTGCGCCGCGTTGCTTTTCTCGGCGGCGCCGCATCAATCCACACCAATCCACACCAATCACGTCATGTTGAGGCTGGAAGGCATACGGTAGAAAAAACCAATACGTACTGAAAACGACTGTATATACCACGAATTATTGCATGTGTGCTTTGCAACAGCAAGAGAGTACCGTACCTTGCTTGAAAGACCTTCTTATGGGGCTTATGGATGCAGTAAAGACAGAACGCATTAGTTAAACTCTTGCTCAAGCTGCAGCTTGTATGATTCATTCGTGTCCAAGGAACTAACTCTAAAGTACAGCCGCGACCGTATTTCTGGTCCATTTAGCGCCGCCGGTTACTGTAGAAAGTACGGTGTGAGCTGTAGCTTGGAGATTAAGTTCCTCGTCTTCGATACGATAGAAAAATCTTCGATTATGAGCTACCCCTTGCATGAGGACTTTACTATTTTCTTGCATACCCTCCAAAAATAAAAAATTCTATCCACCGCTTTTGATGTGTTCATATGGGACAGGCTATGCCCTTGCTGAATCCCGCAAATTCCGCAATATTTGCCGGATTCCACCTATACAACTGTAGAGATTCATCGTTTCTTTCCGTTTCTCGTGTTTGTAATAATTCCTGTAGCCTAATTTCATATACAGTTTATCCATTTCTATCCATGTCAGACTCTAATTTCCTTACTACTTGATAATTAGCGTAATCAACATGGAGACGTTTACTAACACGTACAAACGTAATCACCAACAGCTCACGACTGATAGACATAGAGTTCATACACCTCTTTTCTGTTTGAAGCTCTCAAAGTTCTTGCTACTCTTTCAAAAGATTGAGAATTTGCAGCAGAATGTCCGAGCGTTACAAGATTTGTTGCTTGGAGGCACCGTCCACCCAGATTTTCGACCTCCACGTTTTTGTCGTTTGAGGGCCTTCTCATGTCCCTGATTCCGAATATGAAGTCGAGAATGCGCGAAAACCCCGACAATCCCCGTTTCGGAGAACCCACAGGCCGGCTTTCCGGAACGGTGATTGGATGGGCGCGCACAAATGGGCGGGCATGGATGGGGGTCCTCGTGCATCTTCGCTGTTCCGAAGCGATTTTCTCGCTTCTGAAGCGGCATTTTGCGCCGCGACTTGGGCATTGGATTGATAGGGGGCCCTACTATTATATGCTGCCAAAAGCTCAACACCCTCAACTTAGGGTGGACGGTGCCTTTAAGGCTTCGGACAGAGTCCACGCGATTTGATCGTCGCGATTTAATCGCCGCGATTGTCATTCATTTTCATTTTACAGTCAAAAATTTCGAGCTGGAAAAGTATCACAACCGAAATGCAAGCTGATCGGCTGCAATGAACTCGTAACACTTATCTTGTAGCGATTGATTCGCGACTAACAAATCGCGTGAACTCTGTCCGAGGCCTAAAACGAACAAGAGCTTGCTTGATAAATTGCCCAAAAATTATGGCACCTATTGTGTTGAGTTCATACGCAATTTTTTTGATAATATGGTTCCGTCGATGGAATGGTAGTGATTAGAACTTCTGTAATTTGTCGTATACCGGACAAATGCTTTTCTATAACATGTAAAAAAATTTGAAAAAAAATCAAAAATGTTGCTGTATACACGAAATTTTCTTGTAAAAAAACTCAAAATTTGGTTTGAACAAAACGGTGTTGCTTCAGAAATCATGGATTCTGAAAGGATAAAAACTTCATCTTGGATACCTGCAAGATAGCAGAGTGGATAGAGGTGACGGGACGCTCTCTGCTCCCCCCCCCCCCCCGTCATTCCTTCTCAGACAATCGCAAAATACTTCCGGGGGAAAATGAACTTTAAAATATAAAGAAAGAACAACATTATATATGCTTATCTCCATTTTTCTTTAGACGGAGTTTTAAGATCTAGACCCTCTCCGGAACTCTAAAAGTTCCGGAGCGCTCCCATTGGGCCGTGTGGGTGGGGCCCCCTCTACCTGGTCGAGTCCTACCTGGCAGCTCCAATAGGACTGTCCTTCCGGAAGTTTTAAAACTTCAATCTTCCCCGGAAATATTTTGCGATTGTCTGAGTTCCTCTGATCGTGGGCCGCAAAGGTTTCAATGACAATTTCAATTCATATCAGTTTTGCAAACAATTTTTTTGTAAGCGTAGCAGCCGGCTCACTTTAGTTTCAACTCAGCGTTCACACGGTCGCTATCTTGGAAGCCACACAGATGATCTTTGCGGAAGAAGTTTATTCAGGAAGAAGACAGTCGTTCCTCACTACGAAAAAAAAACAGCTGGACTGCAAATACATATGCCTCAGACAGTCAAACGTGAGCATATCTTCAGTCCAACTCTCATAGATGAGGCCATGTGAAGAGATTTACCCACTCATTCGAAGTCATAGAGCCAGACAAAAGTTTTACCCTCCACAACTTTCGCAGCAATTCTAGTCCTCGAAATTTTTTCACTTTCCTTCAGAGGAAGTGAAAATTGACATACATTTTATTCTCTTTCCACCTGATAATATTGCTTAGAAAGGAGCTGATGAAGATATCAGAAATTTCCAAACTGCGCTGCAACTCCTTCCCCGTCACGAGAGTGAAATCGATGGCACTTTTTTGAAACGATGAAAAGAGATTGTAGATTCAGCATGCACAGAAACGAGCGTATCCCATGTGTGGTTCCTACCTAAAATACCTCTGACCAGCAAACCTGAGTATGCAGATGCACTTTCTGCTGAGCCGTGGATTCGCTTGGCTTGAAGATCTGCTAACCATAAACTCCAGCCCAAAAAAAAATCTGTCTTCCGTATCTGCTGAACCTCTTAGTAGGCGAAGTTATGAGCAATTTTCCTGCAATAAAATCGTATACAAAAATTGCAAAAATAGGCACAATATTGCCCTTATAGCTCATCTTCAAGTACGGGCTAGTACTAATCTAGCTGCATATATTGGCCCAGCACCTGCCCGAATGACTCTGTGCGGCCAAATTGCGTTTTGCATACGCGATTTTTTTATTAGGTCGTGAAGAAAGTTTCCGGGCAATTGCGAAAAATTTTTTCCAATTACTAGAACTTCAAGCAGATTGACTCTTTTTTGAAGCTACAAACTTCATTGCTAGCTTTTCAGTACCTCTCCGCGGTCCACCATCATGCGCAGAAGGGAAAATGGTTGTCGCGAAAAGTGGCCTATCTGTGGAGGATTATCTCAGGCATGATGAGAGTTGGAGAGCTCAGATGCTGAACTTATATATAACTAGCTGGCTTACCCGGCTCCGCCGTATGTTCCGAATAGAAAATTCCATTTCTTAACCGATCCGGACCAAACTTGGCACACATACACTTCGGGCCCCGGCGGGTGTCACAGCCCACTTTTCGTTATCGATCGATGTCGATTTTATCAATTTTTTGCGAAATTTGGGCTAGGGGGCTGGGATTTGGCACAGGGGGATAATCGAGCGTGCTGATTACGAATACGATATTAGTTTTCGAAACCGTGCATTACTTTTATCGATAAAATCGATAAAAGTAATGCACGATTTTAAAAACTAATATTGTATTCGGAATCCCCATGCTCACTTACCCCCCTGTGCCAACTCCCAGCCCCGTAGCTCAAATTTTGCAAAAAATCGATAAAATCGATATCGATCGATACGAAAAGTAGCCTATGACACCCGCCGGGGCCCGAAGTGTATGTGTGCCAAGTTTGGTCCCGATCGGTTCAGAAATGGAATTTTCTATTCGGAACATACGTACACACAGACAGACATACAGTCGTTTTCAATACGTATTGGTTTTTTCTATCGTATGCCTTTCAGCCTCAACATGACGTGGATTGGTGTGGATTGGTGTGGACTGGTATGGATTGGTGAGGCGCCGCATCGCTTTGGGCTTGCGCCGCGTTGCTTTTCTCGGCGGCGCCGCACCAATCCACACCAATCCACGTCATGTTGAGGCTGGAAGGCATACGGTAGAAAAAACCAATACGTATTGAAAACGACTGTACATACATACATACAAACAGACATTCAGCTTTATATATAAGATTCTGTTGGGGCTGTTATGGAAACTACTAAGCATTTATGCAACCACATGCAAAAAAAGTTTTTCCAGAAAGTTTGAAAAATCGATCATTTTTTGCCTCTATGAATGCACCATTTCCCGAGTAATTGAATTTGAAGTCTTGTCGTTCTGCATAGGATGGAACAAAACCTTTGATTACTGCGAACATTGTTAAGATAATGCCTTACAAATCTTGACCAATCATCCAGGCGCGGCGATCCCTGCAGAAGCGACGTCAGCTGCGAAAAGAGTTGAAGTCAGGGTTCCTTCATACTGCGCCGCGCACGCCGCGTACGCCACCTACGCCGCGTACGCCGCGTACGCCGCTGCAGCGCAATGGAAATATGGAAATATGAAGAAGAGGAATCCTTTTCATCCAGTGATGTGTTTGTAAAGAGATGTTAACAGCGCAAATATACAACCAGATACAACATACAACCATACAACCATATACTACCAATACACAACCGATGACGCAATGTGCAGTCACTCAGATAGTTGAAGCGTGCGGCGCACGCGCGTTTATGGTCAATGCGGCAAAGCGCGTGCCTTATTTGTGGGCGTGTCCGGCACTACGCGAAACGCGTGCCATCCTAGACATTTCGTGCGTGCGGCGCGCGTATTAATGGCCAACACCGCGACCCGCGCGCTACGTTTATGTTCGATCTCGCCACCCGCGCGCCTAATTTTGTAGTACGCCGCGCGCGCGCCTTTATACTTTACCCGTGCGGCCCGCGCGCCTGCAATTATCACATGCTGTAAGCACAAGGGATACCCGCGCAGTGTACGACGCAGTGGTCAGGCTGCCTCATCATTCAAGAGGTTAGATATTACGTCGTGGTGTATGAATAGTCGCAGAAGTGGAAGTTGTTTTTTGCTTCCAAGCGTTAGCCTTCGGTAGCATTGCAAATGGATGCTGGATCTAAATTTTTGGATTCAAATACGAATTCATATTTTTTGGCGTATGAAGAGTGGAATTCATTATCAAACCTGTGGTATACAGCGCAATGAAAAACTGAAAAAAAGCAGCCATCCGCGGGCCAGCACCAGCGGCGCGGCATCCAATATCCCGCCACCCGCGCACTGGGTGTTGCGCCACCGTGTGACTGCGCGCGCGCTGCCCGCTTCAACTGTCTGAGCAGTTACGATACAAAATGTGAAACTCAAAATAGAGGGAGCACAACAAATTAAGTCATTTCATCAATCATTGATATAGACAAAAAAAGAGACAGCATAAACAAAGCGAAAGAGAAGAAGAAATGCATAATGTGAAGGAACACTATTGAGGGACACGAATGTGCAGCAAACATAGAGATAAATCCAAAAAAAAGTGGAACTCTGCTGCCGTGAGCATATTTCCATTGCGCTGCGGCGGCGTACGCTGCGTGCGCGGCGTACGTGGCGTACGCGGCGTACGCGGCGTAGTATGAAGGAACCCTCAGAGGCAACGACAGCTTATAATTTCTGAGCGCAAATCGCAAAACTCGAATGCAGTTGAGGGTCAGAAGTTAACAGGTTTCTCAATGAGATCACCCATGATTTGGACGAAATTTTTTGAATTGCACGAATAAATGGCCGTAAAAAGGAAAATTGTGAAATTTTTATGGTTGAAAAACTTTTCTTCTCGATATGCAGATCAAACACGTCTAGGCATCGATAAAAATCAGAAACCGTATTGAAAACTTTAGGCTTCCCTCTACTGAACAGCATAAAAACTTGGTGTCAAAGTCCGACCGAGCGCCGAAAAATGCGTTTAAAATGAAATTTCCAAAAGTGACCGGGAACTTTCTTTACAACCTAATAGCAGTTCAATGGCTTATAATGGCTTCTTCGTCTACGAAGACGCTCAGCAGATATGGAAGGAGTTTAGAGTCAGAGTTTTATGCTGCATCGAATGATATGCAGCTTGTTTGGACTGGCCACTTCGGTTTCTGACCATATCCTCGTGAGGAAATTTACAAGATGTTATGCTTCATACACTGTCCTTTTAAAGGCCATCAAGCCATGACCGGCTCGGTAATATTGAAACGCTTTACTCTCCTATTAGCAACACATCTTCCGACCTGACTACCGATCGTACACTGAAAAGCTTTTCATTCGCATGATCAGCGGTAAGTGACAAAACCATATGTGAGCATGAGGAAGACATACAGATAGTAGAACCAGTGCGAGCCTTTATTATTTGAAGTTCGAAAGGTGAGAAAATATAAGACCTGCGTATACCCTCCTTCCGAACCCACCTTTCAGCGCAATGCACGGGCCTGATGTTTATCGCCGTGAGATTAAATGTTTGTGAGTATGCACGGGCTAAACGTGTCAATTGACGCCTAAAGCAACATTGTGCAAAATTCATGAACTCTCTACATTTTGCGGATTTTTGTTTAATGTGTGTTTCGATTGGATTTCTTTCTACCTTTCATATTCATCGGTTTTACCCAAGAATCGCACTGGCTCTACTATCCAAATGCCTTCCTCGAGATCGCGTAATGATAAGTTCGAAACTCACCGCGCAATGCTGAACATCACAAATGAATGGTAAACAATTGCTCATTTCCAAAGCTTTTCTATGTAAGATCGGTAATTTTATGAGAAAGAACTTTCTTGTAGAACAAATGGACGAATGAGTCACTGAATGTATTTTGGCTTGATAATCGCCGTAGAAATATATAAAATCACCTTGAGCTACATCTCCATTCAAATGTCTTTTCAGTTTTCTAAGTAATACCTTGGCAAATCAACGATCATTTCCTTTTGGCGCCAATTTTGCGTAAAAATAAACTTTTCGTTCACGTTTTGGGCTAAAGTCCATGGTTTGCAGATCTACTTGCTAAGCCAATTTATGACTTTGCAAAAAGTCTAATCAGCTATCTATTTTCGCGTGTCAAAAGCCGCGTGGACCCTTTCCAGGTGCCATTTTCTGAGGGTCCGTGCATCGAACTCATTCTTCATTGAGCAAGGTGAACCCAGACGCTGCTAGCGTGCGTTGTGCAAAAATCTGGCTCAAGACCTAGTCTGTAGCTCGCTCTACGATTTTTGTGACAGACAGACACACACGTACAAAAAGACTGACGCTTAGAGCTTTATTATAAGTCATGATGGTTAGCGCGCTGTGAGTTTCAGTGCCATCATTAGACTAACAGATGGAAGGCACGAAGGTGAAGGAGCCAGTGCGATCGCGAAGCCTGGTGACGCACTGGTAGTTTTATGTCTGAAGAGATAAATTAAGCTAATCGAGATTACCAAAAGCAAAAAATATGGTATGGACTATGAGTGAACAGCTCTCACTTTTAGATGATCGCTGTCTATCCACATCTTCGAAGTCCAGTGTCATGTTTGTTTTACCAGTTCGTCTTCAAGCGCTATATCGAAGATGACATATTCACGGACAATGAATTGGACTGCATTCGGAGAGAAGTTGGTTGCTCTACCCTATTCTTAGTGTTCGTGGAGGTATTGATTAGAGCAACAGGCAACAGCTGCGTTTGGATAAACGTAATTATATAGCAGCCAGTGTAGATGCGATAGGTGGAGAAATTTCTCTGACCCCCTTCACTTTAAGGTTGGCATCTGGTTGACCCGTTTCACCTGAGGTTGACACACTAGAATCAAGGCATAACGGCAGAATAAAACAGCTATTACAATGGCACTTTTTGTTTGGAAAGGAAACGCCAGCTGCTCTTCTCCTCAGACATCAAGACTGCAAGAGAGTATCGAAGCAACAGCGTTTTTGTTTAAAAAAAACGCATGTGTGAGACCTTTTGTCGAAGTGGAAGACTCGAAGTGGCGTTGATAACGAGACATAATCGAGAACTGAAAGGATATCTGATTCTTTGAATAGTTAACATTGTATCAACGAATACACATTGTCGCATGAAAGAGTCGAGCAAGAGTAGATCTGGACTGTTGATGATGGATGCATGTTTACAGACAAGAATCGTACCATATCTCCTTTCACTGGAGAGAATAATCTATATATATATAAAACTCGAAATTGTGAGTTTGGAGGCTATGTGCGTTATAGAAACGCGCGCCGCTCAACAGATTCAGCTGAAACTTTGCACATATATGTTTTCGACCCCTGCGCAGATGATAGACTACTTTTTGCGGTGATTCGTTGGGTCCTTCTGTGGATTTATTGATTTGTTTACGTTTTTCTAAGGAATTGAAGGCTTATCATGTTCAATCAAGCATTTTCCCATAATCAGTGAAAGAAGGGCGGTGAAGCTTATTTTCACCTCAGGATCACGAGGATGCGGTTTGAAGGGAATGTCTTAGGGTAAGTCATCCATAACATATAGGGGAGAGGCTTGCAGTGCAGGTGAACGGAACAAGGCCCGGGCTGGACCGGGAAAGCCAACTAGTAACAAATAAAGAGCAGTCAGATTATTCGTTCCTCAAGCTTTCGAATCATATCTGAAACTTTGAGAAAGACCAAAATGAAGCATGTAACCGGTATCCAGCGTTACCCAGTATTGGCTGATATTGTAGCTAGATAAAACTGCTCATATCTCGCTTCACAGAAAAGCTAAGAAAAAGAGACGGTCTACGTCGATTTTCCGTATTCTTAGCTATCAAATGGTATTTAAAGTGTTAGTGGATAAAGCTTTCCCAGCCCAAAAAAAGTCTTGCTCCGGCGACTCATAAAAGCTAGCAAGGGAATGGTCAAAATTTGAAGTGGCCAAGCCCAGCAAGCTGTATACCGTTGAACATTCCATGGAGTACATATCCGCTGGGTACATAACCGCCTTCATTATCTGCTTCTCGGTCAGCTGCATAAAGTTATGACCCTCGATTCCGCCGTGGGGCCGCTGAGCATCATAAGTACTGCTCGCCCACCTTGCAACTAAGGAGACTCGTAGCGCAGTGCTAAGTGTGCAGAACTCATAGGACGAGCTACCTTTTTGTTTGCAAATTCGATTTCTTTCGCTTGCTACTTTTTTGCAACCCATTCACAATATCTATATTGCTAGCGCGAAGCCCCTAACGCGGTCAAAAAGATATTTCAAAATCTAAAAACTTCGAAAACTTTATTTTTCTCTGTAATTTGAGAGTACGAGCCGATTCCGATAAAAAAGCGCACTCAAGCCTTTCGACCGAATTCATCGCGTCAAACCAAAAATTAGGTTTCTGTTTATCAGTTTTAGCTCCACCTTTCTTGCTGCTCGCTTCTGTTCGTTCTTGCATTCCTATTCATCAACATTTCTGTTCTTGCTTTCACCATAATCATTCTCGGGTTTTCGAAGTCTTTGGATGTTGAATCTTTTTAACCGCATTAGGGACTTCGCGCTAACAATATAAATATTGGAAATGGGCTGCAAAAGAGTAGCAAGCAAAAGGAATCGAACTTGCAAACAAAAAGGTAGCTCGTCCTATGAGTTCTGCACACTTAGCACTGCGCTATGAGTCCCCTTAGTTGCATGGTGGGCGAGCAGTGCTTATAATGCGCGGCGGCCCCACGGCGGAATCGAGGGCCATAACTTCGTGTAGGTGACCGAGAAGCAGTTATGAAGACGGATATGTACCAGCGCTCCATGGAGTGCTCAACGATATACAGCTTGCTGGGATCGGCCACTTCAAATTTTAACCATTCCCTTGTAAGCCATTGGGGGAGCGGGGTGGAGCAAGCTAATAGTAAACTCTCTACCTCATTCTAAAAAACCTACGAGTTTTTTCGCTCACCAACCTATATAAGTACCATTAGAAAGCTCACGAAACGGGAGTTCGACGTAGACGGTCTCTTTTTCTCTAGCTTTCCTCTATTCGGAGACACACGGGGGTGGAGGACATTAGGTCGCCGAATTTGGAAGAGTCCCGCGCGGATTCCCTGCAGGAACGCATGTCCGCGCATGTACAAGGGTGCGTATTTGTCGCAAATGACCGCGGGGACCGCCTTTTTTCGGCGACCTAATGTCCCCCACCCGACACACGGCATTTAGTTGAAAATATGTGTTTTTGTCAAGAAATTCCTGCGTAAAGAACGAACGAAGATGCCTATTTCTAAATGTGGTATAGGGGCCTGCAGGATCGCGAGAGTCGGACGCGCGTACGGCCTTTGTGCCGCGCACGCCTGATATCGCTGGGTCGTAGTCGATTAAGGCTAGATAGGTAAGTTTTTTTGTTTTTCTTTACATTTCACGCCTTCTTTTTTTTTTCAGACGGTGAGCACATGTTGGTGCGGAGGAGTTTAAGATCTGAATTAAGGTGAGGTGCAGGATTATACTCAATACGGGCTCAATATTGCAGACCTTCCATGCCTGCTGGTTGAGATGTTGGATTTTCTGTCCTGGCTGCCCTGTTACAGCAAACTGTTCTATTTCTACCGTCTATTCTACCTTATCTTGCATATTGCTTGTGATGATGATGACAATGATTATGATTGTGATGACGCGCATGATGCAAGATGAGGTAGAACAGACGTTGCAAATAAAACGGAGTTTCGTAACCGGGCAGGCAGGACGAAAAATCGAACATAATCGGACAGCCAGAACAGAAAACTCAACATTCTTCAAAGCAGGGGTGAAAAGTCCACAATATTGGCCCGTATTGAGCATAATCCTGCACCTCACCTTAATCTAGTAGATCTTAAACTCCTCTGCACCAACATATGTTCGCCGCGTGAAAAGAAAAGAAGGCGAGAAATGAGAAGAAAAACAAAAAAATCTCACCTATTCAGCCTAAATCGAGTACGACCCAGTGACATACGACGTGCGCGGCGCAATGGCCGTACGCACGTCCGACTCTCGCGATCCTGCTCAGACACTCGCACCGGCCGGCGACCGTCCGACGACGGCCTTCCGGCTGGCGACCGTTCCATAAATCTGGGCGGAGCTAAATGCCGGCCGGTGACCGTCCCAAAAGATCATGCCGGCCGGCGACCGTCCCAAAAGATCATGCCGGCCGGCGACCGTCCCAAAATTCTATCTCCCAGTGTCTTAGCGTAAAGGATACTTGCGTGAGATACGACGCATGGTTAGGCTACCCTCAATGCCTTGTATGTTCTTCAATTTCCGAAGCAGGAACAAGGCAACATGTTGTCTTATAGACAACCCTCGATAGTATCTCGGTGTTGTCGAATTTCAAAATCGGACATGGTCTCCGAAGCTGCCACATCAGCGGCCTTGATTTTTGTTCTTTGCATTGTATTTTCCTATATGCCAGTGAATAAAAGACAGTTCTACCACGTAAAACAGTTCTACCGTTCCTCAGTATACACCGGCCGGCGCCCGTCCGAATACCGGCCGGCGGGCGTAGACTACGCAACTGTATGCAATGACATGTGGTCGCGCCAGCCGGTCTTTGTGCGGCCGCCGGCCGGTGCGAGTGTCTGAGTGCAGGCCCCTATACAGAACAAGGCCTTGCCAGTAAACGTAGACCGTCTCTTTTTTTCTAGCTTTCCTCCCCCTCCAGAAATGGAGCGCAAACTGATCGCATAAAATCAGCTATCTGCAGCCAGATAAAAACTTATATGTGAATTTACGAGAGAGCTGGAGAAAAAGAGACGGTCTACTTTGATTCTATATGTTCCAAGCTTTCAAATGGTATCGATTGATGCACAAAGCTATCCTGAGTCAAAGAACCTCTGTTTGATGACCATTCCAAAAAAAGCATTGAGAAATTCATCATATTACCTCTGTAACACTTATTGTCGACTCCCCAACCGTGGCAAGGCGGGTCCGTGATGATCAACAAAGATCAATGGATCATATGCCTCAGCACAGGGCAACTGCAACGCAAGAGGCGCTAGCGCAGCTCCGCCTCGCCAAAGTTTAAGAGCCCCATATTTTTTCTCTTTGCACATCCTAGTCCCACTCGGCATGCAAGCTTACGTCGGTATTCACCTCAAGGATCACTTGTTCCCCTTACCTTTTCTAGGTCGGAAATAGCCGAAACTCCCTCCACCTGGAGGGGACCCTATTCCACCTACCACACTTAGGCCCGTATGCACTAACATTTTTGCGGCGAGGAGAGCGGCGTCCCCCGTTATGAAGGGACCGCGTGCGGACGCCGCTGCGGCTTTTTCATCATTGGGGACGCCGCTCCCCTCGCCGCAGGGATGTTAGTGCATGCGGCCCTTAGGGCTGCATGCACTAACAACCCCGCTGTAAAGGGGATCACAGCTCAGAAGAAAGCTTCATAATTCTGAAGCTCCAGATATCCAGATTTCACGCTGTCTACCTGTCCGCAAGTATTCTTACTATCCTTCACTATGAACATATTGAACAAAAGCGAGAAGCTGTATAGGTCGCATTTTCCAGTCTTTGTATGATCCCTGGCGATCCCCGGCGCTTTTCTTCAGAGTCATTTTTCTTTCTTTGAAGTCAACGAAAACCTTGCAAAGTTGTACTAATTATCTAACACAACAGTGCTAAACATGTTAATGATGAGAACATATGAGTTTTTGAAAGATCGAATTTTTCGATAAACCACAACTTTCGACCTGTGGTTCATCGCAAATTTCATGACTCTGATACATCACTTGTTCTTATCACCAAAATGCTAAGCAGTGTTCGGTTATATAATCTGCACACTTTGGAAACATTTCGTTAACTGTGGAGAAAGAAAAATAACTTTAAAGAAAAGCGCCGGGGATCATCAGGGATCATAGAAAAGCTGGAAAATGCGGTTCGTACAGCTTCTCTCTCCTCTTCAACATGTTCATAGTGAAAGATAGTAGGAATACTTACGGATAGGTACACAACGTGAAATCCAGGTATCTGGAGTTTCGAAATATAAAGCTTTCTTTTAGGGCCGTATGCACTAACATCCCTGCGGCGAGGGGAGCGGCATCCCCCATTATGAAGGGGTCGCGTGCGGACGCCGCTACGACTTTTACATCATTGGGGACGTCGCTCCCCTCACCGCAGGGATGTTAGTGCATTCGGGCCTTAAGCTGCGATCCCTCCCCGGGGAGGGGATCGCAGCTTTATATTCTGAAGATATCTGGATTTCACGCTGTCTCCCTATCCATAAGTAATCCCACCATCTTTTACCTTTGAACATATTGAATAGAAGCGAGAAGCTGTACAAGCCGCATTTTCCAGCTTTTCGTTTGATCCGCGGGGAACGACCGTCTGTTCTTTAAAGGCAGCGTCCAGGCAGATCTGGACCTATGGGGTTTTTACGTGGAAAGTACTTTTGGGGCCTTAAATAAGGCACTGCCCAAGCGGCAGCTCAGGTAGTGCTGTAATTGCTGAGATATTCATCTCGAAACTGGATCCCGCGACCGTGTTTCGCATGAATTCATGGCGCAAAGCGAGGATCCTGGCGCGAAACGCCATGAATCCATGCGAATACGTTCGCGGGGGCCAGTTTCGAGGGGAATATCTCAGCCATTAGAGCACTACCTGAGGTGCCGCTTGGGCAGTACCTTAGTTAGGGCCCCAAAAGTACTTCCCACGTAAAAGCCCCATAGGTCCAGATCTGCCTGGACGCTGCCTTTAAAGTCATTTTTCTCTCTTCAAAGTCAATGAAAACATTCCAAAGCTGTACCGGTTATCTAACCCAATAGTCTAAGCCTATTGCTGATGAGAACAAATAAGTTTTTAGATTATCGAAATTTTCGATATTCCCCAACTTTTGAGCTGTGGTTCATCGCAAATTTTATGACTTCGAAACATCACTTGTTCTTACCAGAAACATGATTGACACTGTTGGGCTAGATAAACAGCACAAGTTTGGGATGTTTTTATTGACTTCGAGAAAAGAAAAAATACTTCGAAAAGTAGACGGTCGTCCCTCGGGGATCATTGGGGATCATACAAAAAGCTGGAAAATGCAGTTTGTACAGCTTCTTGTTTCTGTTCAATATGTTAGTAGTGAAGGATGGTGGGAGTACTTACTGATAGATAGACGGCGTGAAAGATATTTGGAGCTTCAGAATATGAAGCTTTCTTTTGAGCTGCGATCCCCTCCCCGACGGGGATGTTAATGCATGCGGCCCTTATAGCAGCCACTGATCCCCTTTTGTTTATGGAAGAGTGAAGCAAAACCTTCCGCTCATTAAACTTTGTCGGAAAGTTAGCTTTGACCCGCATTTGCGCGCCTTTTCGCGCGCATGCGGGTCAAAGCTTTAGGGCCGTCCGCGCTGCGCGAGCGCAACGCTGTTGCGTGCATTGAAGGCAGTTCACGACTGGAAGAAGCGCAGAGAAAACAGTCGGCGAGAGTGCATGAGGAAAGAGGAGTGACGCACAATACCACTTTGCGCACTCTTCGCGCCCTGCGCGGACGGCCTATAGTTCTGGCCTGCCGAACACCTACCGTAATTACACGAGGAGACGTTTTCAGACGGAGAAAGTGTGGTATCTATGATCAGCATGTTAGATAACCCTTACAGATGAAGTTTGAGCAAGATCCACGACAAAAGAAGCCCGGAGACCCGAACAGCGCGATCGCGATCGGGCAGGAAAGCACGGACGCAGCTGCGATCGTTGAGAGCCTTATCGTCACGCACAAAGCCGCAGCGGCCAAGTACCGCCTATAAGTACCACCTCCGCGGGCCAATGGTCCTTTACAAATAATAGTGCATACCTTTTGTGGATCAGAAGTCCACGGAGACAGCTTTTTATGGAACGAACCATACTTGATTCGCTTAGTTCAATTGATCTGCTCTGTCATTGGTCAGTTCAATGAATTGTCCAATAGCGAAACTGTTATTACTTGATCCGCTTGGTTCACTTGTTTACTTCAGTATCGGTCAGTTCGTTATATTGACCAATGACGAAGCCGATTAGACGGATTAAGCAGATCAGTACGGCACGTGACATGGCGGTATCAGCTCCTCTTTTTGAAACGCGTCTGCTTTGCTTTAGGGTGACGTCCTCTGAGGCTTAGAGGCAACGTCCACCCTAAGTTGAGGTCTTGAGCTTTTGGCAGCATATGTTAGTGGATGCAGTAGGTGTTGCGGGTTAGACGACAAAGCCCGAGAAATTCAAGACTTGTACCAAGCCTACATGATATTTTCGCCTCAGAAAAATTCACTTTTTTGAGTATCACTCCCCTATCAATGATTTCGCTATCGCGTGAGAATCGAGAATGCTCAAGTACAAAGCGCTCGATTTTTTGAAGGACTTACAAGGGAAGGATAGTTGGATGCCGCGGCCATTCCTAATGATTTGTATACCAAAAAATGCGCCTTTAAATGCAGATTCTGAATCTGTGCTCGAAATCTGCGAAACGATCTTTTGAAGAAAGTTATGAACTTTTTTCCCTGAAAATTTAGCCTACTTTTGGATAGTAAAAATCACCAGATTTAATCTAGCCTACCGTTTGATGCTACTGAAGAAAATTTCAAACGTCGTAATATTTATTTAGACTATCTGGATCATACTCAGCACTTGGGAAGGAGAGAAAATTCTTTTATTGATGATTTTGACCCTCCGCAGGAACGCAATTTTTTTAATGAAAAAAAGTCATAACTCCATTCAGATTATCGTTTCGCAGATATGAAAGACAGTCTACGAACCAGCACTCAAAAGCGCATTTTTTGGTGTACAAATCATTATGAATGGCTACGGCATCCAAGTATCCTTCCCCTGTTAGGAGAAGGCTGCGCGCTGGTCCCGCCGCTTAAGGCCCCGGACAGACTTCATGCGATCTGATCGTCGCGACTAAATCGCGACGAGACAACTGTTACAACATCATTCCAGCCGATCAACTTGCATTTCGGTTGTGATACTTTTCCAGCCCGAAATTTTTGAATGTGAAATGAAAATGAATGGAAATCTCGGCGACTGAATCGCGACGATCAAATCGCGTGAAGTCTGTCCGGGGCCTAAAGGCAGCGGCTCGGCAAAATGACAACTTTGGGGTATTCATCATTCTCGGTTCCCCTGGATGAGCTAAGTCCAAGGCTATGCTTTGCAGTTCCAAAAGATATCAATAACCCGCTTATCCAGACATGAAAGGCGCTATTTAAGGGCGTACCGTGTAATTGCCCTCTAGAGCGCGATTGGCTCGTGGGTACGGTGGGTACAGTATCTCCATTCACGAGCCAATCGCGTTCTAGAGGGCAACTACGCACTCCCTTTCAAACAGCGCTTTTCACGTCTGGAAAAACGGGTTATTGATATCTTTTGAAGCTGCGAAGCACAATATTGGACTTAGCTCATCCAGGAGAGCCCAGAACGATGAATATTCCAAAGTTGTTATTCTGCCGAGCCGCTGCCTTTAAATCCGAGGACGCACATGATTGGTCCCTGCCTTTGTTCGGGAGGGCCATATAGGGCACCGCGGGTGGACGATGCATTAAATTGCCAAATCACCGCCCCGTAACATGGAAAACGAACTGTGCCCAGTAATGGTGACTCACCCCTCTGATATGTCCTCGTTCAGATCGTTTCTGCCATCGATCGCTTCGAGCAGCTAAGTCCTAATTACGGCGGGCTTGGTTCAAGTTCTGCATCACAGGTATGTCATGCATGCACGACCTTGTACCCAGTATCAGGGTAGATATAGGTCATTTTCAAAATCGTGACGACGAATTTGACTGCGGACTTTGCGCCCACAGGATCTTGAACCAATCATATAAAGAGGCATCACCTCAACGCTCAGCTCAGTCACTTCCAGTGTTTGAATACTATTATGAGTATGTAAGCAGGACCATACTTTGTAAAGACAAAAGCCACGAAAATGAGGTTGCCGGACGTCGCGTGCGTGTCGCGCGCGGTTACGCCATCGTCACGATTTTTCGAGTTCCCTATACATGTCATGATTCAAATTTTTAGGCTGAAGTTGTATCAAAACCTTGGAACACGCTCTTCTATAGTTTTATCTTCAATACAGTCCCAAAAGATCATGATCTCTCCTCTGAAGAAATCAAGATTATTCACAGTGGAGTGAGTTTTTGTTGTACATCGGCTATTTATGTCACTTTGATTTCAGTTGCTGGAGTTGGTCGAAAGGTACAGTACAATAAAAGCTTATCGTGAATGTCAGGACGCCTTGTCTGGTGAAGAAGAGGTAAGGAGCTGTGCTGTTAAGGGAAGGACCAACTCAAGTTGGCCTTTGAAGACGAGATGTATATCACTAGAAGGTCGTCCAACTCTGATTCAGGGGCGGTGTTTATCAATCTCCCACTCGCGCTCTTCGGGCCATTATTTACTAACGAGTGTGCGGATAGGCGAGAGCGCCCTTCCATCCATGATGAATTTTAGACCAAGGGGGCAGCAAAGTCCAACTTGTCGAGATCGGGTACGATCGGGCACCTGGCGTGCCCGACATGTCCAGAGTTGTCAGATCGAACCATATCTTCAGACACGAGGAGCCCGATCACCAGCTCGGCGTCGTGTACCGCGGGCGCCAGCGCCGGCGCCTACAGGGGCTGTGATCTGTACAGGAACCTTTTCCCATATAGGAGACTGGCTGGCTTACCCGGCTCCGCCCTTAGGCTGAGATAGGACCTTTATTCTAGTGTTTTGAGAGGCCCGGCTCCGCCGGGCCTGTCAAAACACTAGAATAAAGGTCCTATCTCTATCCCTCTACAAACTTTCCCTGTGCCCCCTTCTACATGCCATTTCCCTATGCTGACCTAATTATCAGCATGCCCGATTACCTCCTTGTGCCAACTCCCAGCCTCGTAGCTCAAACTTCGCAAAAAATCGGTAAAATCAGTAAAAGTGAAGAATATACAGAAACTAGTATTGTATTCGTAATCAGCATGCTCGCTTACCCACCTGTGCCAACTTCCAGCCCCGTAGCTCAAACTTTGCAAAAACTCGATAAAATGATGAAAGTAAAGGATAATTATGAAAGCTAATACCATATCGTATTAGCATGGTCACTTACCGCCTGTGCCAATTCCCAGCCCGTTCAAATTTCGCAAAAAAAATGATGAAATTGATATCGATCGACAACGAAATGTAGCCTACGACACCCGCCCCGCCCCGAAGTGTATGTGTGCAAAGTTTTTTCCGGATTAGTTCAGAATTGGAATTTTTTATGTGGAGCATACGCACAGACAGACATACAGACCTTCAGCTTTATATATGAGTTTGATAAATATCGCACTAGATTTATTTTTTCCTTTTTTTGCGTAACAACTCTCTGAAAGAGGTTGCGAGGGTATGAAAGTCCAAATTTTGTTGTCAAATTGTCTAGCCTTATGTGGCATAAAATTGGCGAAAAGCTGTACAAAAACACCTGAAAGTGGGAATTAATTTGTATCTAGTGTATTAAATACAAGGAAGGAACACAGCTAGTGGAAATCCGCATAGGAACGCCCGTAAAAGGGCTCGGACCTGGGAGGAGTTGCAGGTGCGCTCCATCGCCATTTCGATTAGAGCACCGTTTTTTCAAGTGGGGCGCACTATCTCCTAACACTTAGCGTTTCACAAACTTTCCAAAGAGATGGAAGACTGGGAGAGGGACCATGTGCAAAATAATAGAATGTTTTGGTTCATTCCGCTTGCATGTACTTTTCCTCTTCTCAAGCTGTCAGGACATATCATCATACCCTATGGTTCTCATGATTTGGCGTTCATGCATCACTCAACAATACTTTTGCTTTGTGTTCTTCTATATATGACCTTTGTTTTGGTTCTTATTTTACTCTACTCACTAGAGTTATGCAACAACGCTTTTGGTCCAACAACGAAAAAAGGGGAGACGATCAAGAGGCGCGATTTCTCCGGCTGTCACCAACTTAAAACTCCAGTGTAGTGCTATACGAGTCTTCAAAAAACCAGATAAAGTGCATTGGATTACTATCCGTCTGAGGTTACCACTTGCTAAGTCTGGTGGCTTTTGCTGGAAAACTAACCAAAATACTTACGAATTTGTTCTTAACTGCATTTTCATAAGTTTTTGACCTTCTCAATTGCTGTTTTGAATTGAATCTAAGGTAGCAAGATTGAGAAACCCATGCAACTATCTAGCCCAGCCATAGTTAGCATTTACCCTCTATGACCTTTGCCTGAATTTACGCTTGAAACTCATTGTCAGTAACTGTCTTGAACTTCCGTTTTTGGGTTAGTCTCAGCTGCTCTAACTTCTCTTTGAGTTCACACCACTTGAGGATCCACTTTGTGCAGCTTTTAGAAGTATCTTAGGGCTGCTAGCGCTAAATTGGGATGGATTTATCACTGGTGTTCGTGTGCGAACTCTTTTTACGGCTCGCATGTGGCCAATCAAATTCTGGCTACAGCTGTGTTTCAGTCCTTCCTACTCCTTCAAAAACATCCTTTACGGTGTTGCTTTGTCTTTTTTTTTCTTGAGACGACCTATAACTGTCTTGTAATTACATAACATATCTCGAAAACATAAAATTCTTTCCTGAGATCTGCTGGAAAACTTGTTAGATCGACGTCTTTGAAGCAATGAGAGCTAAAAAAAATAGAAATCGAATGTGTCATATTTCAATTTTGCGCTTGATAGCAATCGTCGCCTTTTCTCATGAGCTTCAAAAGCGCTGCATAGTCGTAAATCATCATTGCTAATGTTGTTCGATAAGCTTGTCGATGATGCCTAGATTGAAAATTGAAGAAAAAATGGGTGGAAAATGGCAACTTTATGCTGGTGACCTTTATAGACTGTAACGTTTTGCTAAATGGAAAAACCGGGATTTTTGCAGTTAGTGAATAGTTTTGAATGTATAAAATTAATTTGCCCAGCTGTCAACCTCAGGAATTCAGAAACAAACAAATTTTGAAACTTGGTGCTATACTAAGTTAACTATGAAACTTTACTTACTGGAATTGAAATTAATGAGAATTTTTTTGAGCGAGAGCTGACCAATGTGCTGAACATAGAACTTGGCCTGCCGCCATGTTCTCACTGAGCATCACTTCGGGACAAGTTCGTAGTTTTTCGTAGGAGGGGTTCTTAGGCACATGCCGTAGGCTGCGTTCATACTAATCCGGAAATCTGGAAACCTTAAAACTTGGAGCAAATCTTACTTATCATTGAGATCCATTGAGAACATAGATATTGTATATATTCGTGGAAATACATGTGACAAGAGTCCAAACGCATGTAGGGTCGGTCGAATATGCACAAAAAATCCAGCATGCTTGGAATTTATGTATTTCGAGCAAAACATTCTCAAGAATTTCAAATTTCTGGCGGGCTTGTGGGTTTGTGCTTCAAAGTTAAGCAGCAAAATGTTTTGATGTTTCACAGAATTTTTTCTACGCATGAAATGCACGCAAGCGGGTCTTATCGTAGCAAAGAATTGGCAGTTTTGATCCTCTGATATGATTTGTCCACATTTTACCGTCAAATTCCCACAAAGATGTCAAAGACTATACGTATACTCAAAAACTACCCAGATCGGCGTGGAAGTGTTTGGAGATAGTGCGCTCCAGTTGAAAAAACGGTGCTCTAACCGAAATGGCTATGGAGCGCACCTGCAACTCCTCCCAGGTCCGAGCTCTTTTACGGGCGTTCTCCGCATAGGCGTCTGTGGTTTTTCGATCGTTCTTTGATTTTTGTAGAGCTTTTCGCTGATTTCATGCCGTATGAGGCTTAGACAAATTTGGACATTAAAACGCTCAAATTTCTTTCGAGAGTTGTACCATAAAAAAGGAAAGCGAATATGGAATCACTTTCAAGGACGCGTTGATATACATCTCGTCTTCATTCTCCAGGTGGGTTCGCTATCCTTCCCCTAGTCTGATCTAACCGAAATTTTTGTGGTTTTGTGTTGATATCTTATTTACTCCTTCGTTCTGTTGTAGCCAGAGCCATGCAGTTCCTCAAGTGGATTTGACGAGTCTTCTGATAATCATAATGATACTGACGCAGAGCTTGCAGAAATTCAGACTAAAGCTGAGGCAGACAAGGCCTCAGTAAACGGAAGCGCAACCTCATCAAGGTAATCTTCACATCGTTTCAGAAGGTCATTTTTCTTTAATCGTCCTTTGATTTTTGAAGCTCTTTATTGCCGAAGCAATCACTGGGAGATGAATTCCGCGCACTCACTGGAAAGGGAACCCCTTCCAGCTGTACACTGACACTTACTGAGAAGGTTGGGATATTTTACTTTATAATCTTCACTCATCTCCTATCTTTTACTGCCAAATCTGGCTAGTTCAACCTATTTTTAGGTTGCCTCTCCTCTTCACTCCCCTAAGGAACTGGGTGTTGAAGAAGACGATAGCACAAAATGTAGTTTATCTACAATTCCACGGCCTTCTCTAAGAGGTCAGTCGATATGCCGCCACCAGTAGCGTGCCCAGGATTTCCGGTGTGGGGAGGCGGGGGGGGGGACTAAAATTGTCTTGAATGAAGGTGCGTGGCGTAAGCCGCGCACTCCGAAAATCTACTTCTGAAATTTCTACAGGCCCACGATAAGCGAAAAAATATCTTTTACAGTGCTATTTTGAACTTTTGAAAAATTCAAAAAATCATCTTAATTATTCAGAATTGTAAACAAGTCACATGGCCAACAAGTCCAGTTGGCATTGGGGTTTCTTTATTCTCAAATTGGATTTTCAGTTCTGATTCACGGCTATGGCAAGGCGATGTCTTTGCTTATCCGCATTATACAAGATTCTTCAGGTTCATCTTCAAAAGCATTTGCATTTAGAAAGCGATAGCACGTTAACAGATAAACGCGAAGTTCGCCTCACTGTCGAAGACTAAGGGCGAATTTACGTTTGCGAAAAAAAATGATAGATCAAAGGCCCAAACCCACACCCTGCTTTTCTAATCAAAGACACTGCATGTACAACCGGAATTCTTTTTTAAATCAGTCTGCGCTATTTCAAACATATTAGTTCACTTTCGACTGCGTCTAAACCAGGGGTCAATACAATGCGCTAACTCGGCATCAGTCAGGTATTAGTCGAAGTGGCCTTTCCAAATAATTTATACACCGTTCTGAAGAGCTTCGAAGCTGATCACAAATTTGCTTTCACTATCTGCTAAACGTCTCTGAGCGCCGAGTGTGGTCGTTTTTCGCGTTGAAAAAGTGAACCAGATTAGAACCCAGGATTGCTCTAATGGTCCAGCGTTAATAAGGTTACTTTGAGCAGTGGATATCTTTTGTCTTTATACTCGGATTCAACACTGCTCGGACTCGAGCGACCGTAATTACTGATTTCACCGAGATTCTGCATGCATTTTTGGTCTAAAAAACACTCTTGATTTGGCGCTCAGACGTGTTCGGCAGATAGCGAAAACAGATTTGGAATCAACGTTGAAATCTTCATAATGGTACAGATTTCATTTGGAAAGGCCTCTTCGACTCAGAACTCTTCTTGCGAGCAGCTGGTGAAGAACTCTCGCGTCTTTTCCAACGTTCCCTCACACAGCACTATGATGCAGTATCTCTCAGCGATGTACTGAAGCTTATTTCCATTGGTGCCCAACAGTTAGTGCTGCTTCCTTTATGCAGAGGAATGCTGCGCCGCTTAGGCGCTACTCCATTCAGAGGCCATAGTTTTATGCACCCCCACTTTTTTTTAACCGCGAGAGATCTTGAAAAATGTTGGAATTGGTGGACAAAGCAGATTCATGACAGTGTATGCACTAACTATTGAACGGAAATGCGCATTTTGTAGTTGGAAAGTGCTCTGAGTGTAAGTAGTTTTTTAGTTGTTTTTTATTTTGCAATGAAGCAAGATGCAATCCCTTCAAGTTTGGTTGCTGCGAATAGGCTTTATGGTATAGTGGTATATGGTTGGTCTGAAGGAAAAGGACATACATTGCAACTTCATTTCGCTTCCGCTAACAGCACTCCCTTCTTTCATTTCCCCTCTATTGTTTCCTTTTTTGTACAATCTCACATAATACTTCGTTTCAGAATCTCCTTATGACTTGAAGAAAGCGCCGGCCATGCAGCACAGGCCTCGTCGTCAATTGACAGAGTTTGCGTCTCCATACAGTAAGTCGTTTGATACTGTTATGTAGCGTTCATATCAAAAAAAAATGTGTAAACTTCTTCGGCGTCTCTTGATTTCAATTCTGATCATGCGAAATACGTAGCACTATCCAATTCTGATAAAGCAATCTCAGGCAGGCGTTCGATGGGGGAAGCCGGACCCCCAAAAGTGAAGGTGGTCCCAGCTAGCACTGACCGCCAAAACTGAAGATGGTAGTGCCGGACACTCACCTCCCAAAACCGTCGACCGGGGGGGGGGGGAGGGGAATCACAGCTCGACGTCTCTTTTTGCGAAAGAAAATTCTTCCTCAAAAGTTTCATAAGCTTCTTCACTGACTAAAAAGGAGAAATAAGAAAAACAATCTTGCCATCACCTACTGCAGCATCTCAAGGCCATCCTAGCATGGAATCTAATCTATGAAGTCGCAACATGATTCAAGCAATCCTGAAGAAGTTATGAGCTGTTAGAGTTTAAAAAGCCCTTTTTTTACCTGCTTTTTCGAAAGCCTGGATCTGGCGCTGTTTCAATGGATCGGTACGGCTAAGACATATTCTAGTAGAACAAACCCTACTCTACAAAGCCTATGAAGTCGTAACATCATATATCTTCACATTCAAGAATTAGGGGAATTCGAATAGCAGATGTCACTAAGCAACCTAAAATTGCCTAATTTTAAAAAATTCGTCTCTCGGCGACCACCTCTCAAATCGACCTGATTTTTTCACTATCTGACAGAACAACACTTATTCTTCAAAAGCTCTGAAGTCGCAGTTGCTGACATCTTCAACCACCAGTTCTTAAAGGCAGTGGGTCGGCAGAATGAGACCCGTGGCAAAACAAGGTCACAGGGTAGGAGCCCCATAATGGAACCTATGAGCCAAAGTTCGATCTTTCTCTGCCACTTCTAACCCCCGAGATTTCAAAGCGAAAGCATTCTGCCGACCTATTGCCTTTAACAGTGGAAATTCCGCATGATTTTTCGCTACTTTATCATTCGAAATTCTGGTTATCGGCGGTTGCTACCTGGGTCAACCTTCTTTTTTGCAGTACGTTATAACAAAATTTACTATATAAAATACATAAAATGTGGCTGAATTTTGCTGACAATATTTATGCTGCCGGATTCATAGTATCTGTAGTCCTAAAGAGGGTCGTTGGGTCACAGTTGTTGGCTCTAAAGAGGACCGTTTGGTTAGAACCCTTTAAATCGAAATTCGTTAAGAAGCTTTGTTTTTTGGATTCGTGGGAAGTGCCGAGGAGTGGATGCGTCCATGGCGGGTGCTGGCCTTCGGCTGCTCGCGATAGGTGACGGCGAGTTCCTAAAAGCGTAATACATAAATATATGCTTCTAATAATCCCCTTTGCATTTGTTTTACTTATCTTCCTTTTTATCATTCAGCCAAAAAATTGTCGCCAAAAGTGAAGGTGGTCACCCTGTACCAGCTCAAAAGTGAATGTAGGGGAGAATCGGCTCCCACTATTGCAATTCTGGTCACAGGGCATTAAAAGCATTGTCCAGATTAAAAACTTTCGTGTGTTTCACATGAGAACTAATCTGAACTCGTAAGCAAGGCTTCGCAATATAAAAGATCGTATTACATTTGCTTGGACATTGCCTTTAGAGAGATAGTTATACTTCGGTATTTCGCTGAATCTTCTATTACCATCGGTTTTGAGTGGGGCGCGAAATAAGCTAATACGATCCTGGGGTCTAGTTGGAGGCGAATATCTCAGTCGTGAGTGAATCATTCGCGCTGCCGTTCAGGCAGTATCTCAGTTAGGGTCCCAAAATTACTTTCAAGTGATATCCCCATAGGTCCAGATTTTCCTGGGCGCCCCTTTCATAATGCTTAAAGGTTTAGAACATGCTCTTCTCGATAAGTCTACTTTCAGCCGGAATCGAGGTAATGTTGTCTGCTACACGAACACAACGTTGCGATGGAAAAGGGCTGAATCGCCCGCTTGGCGTGACGTACGATGAAGAGTGTAAGCAGTGGATTGTTGCTGATACAGAGAATAACCGAGTAGGTGAAATGCACTTCGAATGTCTTGCTCAGTTAGTGCCGGGTTGAGAATAGTAAGTGTGATGTTTGGGACAATATGCTTTTTTTCAGATTGTTTTGGTACCAAGAGGAATCACTATGACATCACCACAGCTTAATGCTCCATGTGCAGTTGCTGTTCTGCAACCTGGAATTTCTTTTGCTGTGCTTGCCATACGCGACATACAAATCATGTACTATGGGAAATCAGAAAGCGATCGTGTTATCGTTCACTCTGGAAATGCAAGAGGTGCAAAGTTTTCGTCACAAAGCTCCAGTATTTACGCTTGGTTTAGGTCTTGCTGTCACGTCGAATGGTAATCTGGTAACCATGGAAAAGATCAGAGGTTTTTGGCAAGTGTCTGTTTACGAAGGCAAACCTAATGCGAGGGTTGGTTTTCCTCGGATTATCATTTAAATGGACTTTATAGTAAAATAAACTAGAAAGCAATGGCTAAACTTTTGTTTCTGTCATTCTAGATCTTAAAAGTAGTTTTTCGGGAATGTTAAAAGGACATTTTACTTTCATAAACGCAAGGCACACCATCGTGGGTCAATGGATAGATATCCTAGAGCGGTAGCACCTTATTCGCCCAGCGTCTTCTCCATAATGTGAATGAGCTCGTTCTAGTCCTGCTTGATTAGAATCTGGCCACTATTTTCAAGCTCTTGAATCACATCACACCCAGAAGGCCGGGGATTTGAACACATCCATACTCGATAAATTGTCGGCTTAGGAAATGGGGTTTGGGATACTCTCCCAGAAATATCGTTTGTTATAGTCAGTGTGGTCTTGCCCGTATCCAGGGATACAAAATGCGCTGCCATCGTTCCTTGATCTTTATCGCAGAACTCTCGTTGTTACCGATCTTGGTGAGTTTTATTCGTGTTTTCTAGAAATTATATCTCTGCATCTTATTGGTAAGCTGGTTATAGAGCTTGTTCGATGTCCATGTTTTTGATAATGCATTGCTATAGGTACGCAATCGATTGTAAAGTTCTCAGACGATGATGGAACGGATAAATTTCGCCACAAACGAAGCATCACGTTAGCACCGGATCCGAAAAAGTACGTATAATAGTAAGCGTAACCTCTCGGCAAGTGCGCAGATCTTTGGAGGACTGCCGCTCGATTATGATGTTTTAGTCCAAGGCAGCGTGGCACTGTGACTTACATCAGTGGTGTATATATTGACGATGACATGAACATACTGGTAGCTGACGCAAAGGGACGATCTTTGCAGGTGCGTCTTACTTCGCTGATTTTTCAATTTCACTTTCTGAAAATTTCAGGTGTTTAACAACAATTGCATCTTTTTATATAATGTTAAACTGTCAGGTGGTGGCTTTCCCTATATAAGTAAGTTTTGCGTTTCTTCTAGATTCACTAAACTTCTTTTGGCTTTTTTAGGTGGAATATGGGTTAACAACAACGGACAAATCGGCGTCTGTGCGCGAGGCAACAAAGATGGGGGCTTGCATGTGTATAACATGAGGGTGCCAGTCACCAAGTAATTGGATGAATGGTGATTTTCTTGCACACTTGGTTTATTTCTAAAACCCTTTTGTTTTACCAAAAAAGCTTTTGTATTGGTACTTAGGGCAGTATACCTTGGACAGTATTTAAAAGTTATTAGACCGTTCGATCAAACGCTCGAATGCGAATTTTTCAAGTCGAAACTTCTAAATTTTGATTGATATTTTTGAAAGTGGTATTCAGTATCACGAGCTGTTATTCGACAGTCGAATGTTTGAATTTTTCGAATTTCCACTAGTATACAAGGCGGTCGGTAAAATGGGACATTCTCAGTTTGGGTGTTAGATGATATATCATTGGCTTCCATATTCACGAATCTGAGAGGCGATCATATCTTCAAACTCTGTAGGTATTTGGAGCTCCACCAGGGACGCTCAGCTCAGGGAAGGCTTCTATTAAGGTCTGGCTTAAGTGTGATTGGCAGTCTTGACTTTGCACTGTTAATACCATCCTGATATTGTAGTTGCAGTTTTGTTACAAAGTGCTCACTTTGACGATCAAATTGAAAAAATTTTAGGTTCGCGGATATTGACGTGTCCCCATGTGCCTAAAGTTGCGAAGTGGGTCCTTTCCGTCTTGAAGCATAGATAACTTTTTTAAGGTGAAAACGATTATTAACACTTTATTTTTGCCTAAACAATCGTTTTATAAGCAGTAATGTTCATTGTTTTAAGATGCAGTTTAATGTCTGTATATGTTCCGATCTCATGTTTTATTTCGAGTGTCTTAAATATATGTGGATAAATGTTGATGTAATGTAAGTGCTCGCAAATATGTCTTCAGTGTGAAGTATATCTGTCACGAGATCAGTGTATCTGAAGGTACATTTAAGCAATGGCGCACTCAATTGACAAAGAAAACGTGGCGCAAATCCATACTAGGGGTATTGCATCTAGTCTTCATCAATCCTACCAATCCTCAAATCCACACCTTTAAGGCCCGGCCAGACTTCGCTCAAAAGCGCCCAAATATCTAAGTTCTCTTCAACTTCTCGCTCTCCTCACACGAGTAAGTGAAGAGAGGTTAGAAAAATTTGAGCGCTTTTGGGCGCTTAGCGAAGTCTGGCCGGGGCCTAAAAATCTAGACCAAGTGAAAGGTAATTCATTGTTACATGCTGAGTTGGTCTAGCGAGCCATTGTAACCAATTATGCGAGCTAATCAAATACGGCGCGAGTTGTGCGCTGTACTGGAAGCATGCCGGCATCATACATTTCTCCCAAATTTTTCATATTTTCATCTATGCAGTTTGGCGACAGGGGCGCTGGGCACTTCAAGAAATATGTAAGCTGGATGTAAGAAATTTGTTCGATGGATAAAAAGTCTAATGGTTGCTCCCAAGTTTGGACCACATACCCGAGGATTCCGGACAGGGGGTTCAGAGTTGAAGTACGAGGTTTGCAGGTTTTGTAATATCTATGGACGAGCACGATATTTATGCGGATGATAATGCCTTGATCCATACGCTACCTTATGAGACGATGAGAGATCTGAGCAGGATATTAGATGCTGGGGAGACGTGGATAGAGTTAGGTAAAATTTTTACTTCTTTGGGTTGAAATGACTTTATAAAGGCCTTTATTAGCTACCAGAATGCCCGACATCTCCACCCAGGATGTCGAGGGATGTCGTCAGTTTGGTGCATCTCAAAAAGGAAGTCCATCGGAGTACTTGTTGAGAGTATGGGCCAGCAAAGGATACTCTATTTTGAGTTTGTACAATCTCTTTGCATTGACTCGAATGGTTCGTTGTATGCGGATTATACGGGATCAAGGTTGGTACACAAAGTAATCCAAAATAGCTTTGACGTGGGAGCGCATGTGGGAGGCGATGCTCGAGAGACTTAAGAGAGTAATTCTACACTTTTACAGTCTCTGATGCTCATCACTATCTTGAAGATTATGCGCTGACAGCAGATAGTGGTTTGGAACCTTCATCAACACAAAACTACCAGCAATACACCAGAGGTCGACATGTAAGTCTAACCAGATTTTACCCTCTTGCGACGTGCTAGCACTTATTTTGTCAAGTACTTGGTGCGTCCTTCTCTTCTTTGAATTCTTGTTCGAGAGAGAGTGTGCGTAGCATACTGAGCATTCTGGTCATTAAGATCTGAGGATTGGATACACCTTGGATTTCATTATAAAGTTAATGGATTCCGATGATTCATGGTTTTCCTGCACATTTTAGTTCAGGAGGCTCATTTTTTAGAGTGAATCAATGATTTTGATTATAAACAGACTATCATAGTCATAGCCTCTCGCATCCTGAGTCAAGGTGCTATGTTTTTGCAGGTAGTTTCCGAAATAGTCTAATTAGGTACGTGTTCAGAGGATGTGTAATCAAGGAGAACTCTTTAGGCATCGGTCTCGGTAAAACGTAACGAACCGCAGCAGCCGACGCATCCTCCTAGTGTCTCTACACAGAGATCATCCACTGCTACGTCAACGAGTGATACATCATCATCAGGGTGAGCAGATATAATTCCCTGAGAGTGCAGAAGGCGCAATTTTGTGACAGTTCGGTGCTGCGACTCTTTCTGGCGCTGTCTCAGTATTTTGTGGGATAGCTTTACTCGGAACGATTCAGAAGCATTTAAAGATTGATTTTTGGGGCGGCTACGCTGCTATTTGTACCTTTTTTCTCTCATTTAATGTTCAGCTGGCCTTTCCTTTGTAGTGTAGATACCTTTGCTGCATGATGCTTTTTCGGGGTGTGTTGCAACAGACTTCACTGGTTTTTGATAGTATTAGGTTTCCTTAAAGGAACCTCGCGGACCCTATCTGGTCGGCTCTACAAAATACTCTCACCGTTCCTTACGCCGAGCTTCTGGTGCGTTTCCTGCCTATCTTTCAAATTGACCTGAATATAATCCTGCGCTTTTCGGCGGCAACCTCAAACTTCGCGGAGAAGAATGTGCTGGGTAAGGGTGGCTATGGTGTCGTCTACGTGGGTGAATGGAAACACACAAAGATAGCTGTCAAGAGATTCATGTCTGGTGGAAGCAAAGGAGCTCATGTACTTCATAATTGACCCTTTGTTTTACACTATATTCATTTAATCTATGTTCAGATACAAAGAGAACGACTTCGCCAAAGTATGCAGGAACTAAGAACGCTGGCGAAGTACCGTCATGATAACATACTACCATTGTACGCATTTTCTCTCGAAGGTCCTGAGCCATGTCTTGTCTACCAGTTCATGTCCAACGGTTCGCTTGAGGATCGTTTGCTCTGTCGAGTAAGTTTTTTTTACATGAGAAAAAATTGTGTTTGTTTGCTTACAAGTTTGGTTCATTTCCGCTTGCGTAACGAAATAAATTAATGCTACCTTTTCAGCGTGGTACACCGCCACTGTCATGGTTACAGAAGAAGGAAATTGCTGAGGGGACTGCTCGGGGTCTTCATTTCTTGCACTGCATCGCTAGTACTCCTATCATCCATGGGGACGTAAAGTCTGCAAACATATTGCTTGACAAGCATCTTGAACCAAAATTGGGTGATTTTGGTCTAAGTCGTGATGGAAGGGTGAGTATTAAACATTAATCAGAACTTTCTCTCATAAGTTCTGTACTAGACACGGTTCATGTAGTGCTCAGTGTGTCGAAAGCGTTTTCGCGAGTGCATAAATGGCACTGAGCGCCCATTTTGAAATTGTGCTACCCATGGCCATTAAAGGCCCGTATGCACGTACATCCCCGCAGGGAGGGGAGGGGATTTGAGAGGGGAGGCGTCATATCTCGCTACCTAACAAAAAATAGTGGACATCTAATGTTCTCTGGCAGTACCCTGGCAACCATTATGCGCAGGTATCAGGATATGAGGACCTTTGTAATCCATGTAGAGGCAGAAGAAGAAAGATATCTAGAGTAGCGAATTATGACCGTCCCCTCTCAGATCCCCTCCCCTCTCTGGGGGATGTAAGTGCATATGGGCCTTACGCTCAAATATCGTTAATAATGCCACTATTTCAAATACTGAATGGCCAAACTGCGTGGTTGCCTTTTCTGCAGTTTATATCCTCAGATTTCAAGACAGCACATTCAGTTTGAAATCCAAAATGCTTTTTACAAGAATGATACTCATTCCGTAGGGTTAGGCTTCTTCATCTGGCTGACGGCAGGTGTGCGTAAGGGGCCTAAATATTGCCGTAAACTGGTCTGGAAGGATAGGCACAGGCTAGTCACATAACGGCTTCTTCAGATGATGCTTTGTTGTGGAGTATGGTTACATCTACCGGACTCCGCTGGTGAATGAATTGATATAAGTCATCAGCATTTGCAAAGCGTCTTCTTTATGCAGTTCTAAGGGCCGCATGCACTAACCTCCCCGCTGGGGAGGGGATCTCAGCTTAAAAGAAAGCTTTATATTTCGAAACTCCAGATATCTGGATTTCACTTTGTGTACCTATCCGTAAGTGTTCCTACTACCCTTCACTATGAACATGTTGAAGAGGAGCGAGAAGCTGTACGAACCGCATTTTCCAGCTTTTGTAAGATCCCTGATGATCCCCGGCGCTTCTCTTTAAAGTCATTTTTCTTTTTCCGAAGTTAACGAAAACCTTCCAAACTTGTACAGAACATCTGACACAACAGTGCTAAGCATGTTGCTGATGAGAACAAATGAGTTTTTGAAAAGTCGAATTTTTCGCTAAACCTCAAATTTCGACCTGTGGATCATCGAAAATTTCATGACTTCAAAACATCATTTGTTCCTATCACCAACATGCTTAGCACTGTCGGGTTAGATAATCTGCACAACTTTGGAGGTTATTCGTTAACTTCGGAAAAAGAAAAATGACTTTGAAGAGAAGCGCCGGGGATCATCAGGGATCATACAAAAGCTGGAAAATGCGGTTCGTACAGTTTCTCGCTCCTCTTCAACATGTTCATAGTGAAGGGTAGTAGGAATACTTACGGATAGGTACACAACGTGAAATCCAGGTATCTGGATTTTCGAAATATAAAGCTTTTTTTTTGAGCTGCGATCCCCTCCCCGCGGAGATGTTAGTGCATGCGGCCCTAAGGGAATTCGAAAAAAGCGTTATACCGTAGATCACACCAAATTTACGAAAACGGCCAGACCGTGCGAAATGGGTATAGTTGACTGCACGGAATCGGCCGGGCTGAACGCCCGCGAGCGTGTCTCTTGGGGGCTAACATTGGCATTCACGCGCATGAGTCATCTAGCGCCCGTACTGGGCAGCCGCGTTGCAGGAATGCTCGCGCTCGTTTAGCCTACAGCGACCGGGGCGATTTCGTGCAGTCGGCTACATCATCCTTCGGAAAAGCATTCAAATCAGTATCACTTGTGTGTATCAAATAATATCTGTTGTGCGTCGTTCGAATTCAAAATTCCGGAAGTTAGTGCAAGAACAGTACTGTGTTAAAGGCAGCATCCCAGCATCCAGGCAAATCTGGGGCGGTATGCAACAATCGCCCGTTCGGATAAGTTACCCGGGCAGGTAGTTTCCGCTTCATAGATCGGTGCTCTTGGAGTCTGTGTTCTTCCTTGTTTGTACATCTATTGGAGGCTCTACTAACCTAATATTTAGTACAATGACTAGCAGCACTTTGCTGTATAAGCTGAGATAATTCTTTATTTGTATGATCCCGAACGGGATCTCCCACTGATCATGCTCATTTTCAAAGTATTCTATATCCGCAAAAACGCAATGAAGACGTCACAGAGTTTTGCTGTCGACCTATTACGACATGCTAGGCATGTTTTTAGTAGCACAGATGAAATATGCAAGTTTTGAGTTTTTGGATAGAGCCCAATTCGCGAGCACAGGTTCAACAAATATTTTGTCAACTTGATTTTTCACTTATTTCTTTCAGATATTCGCAGCACTGTCTGTCGTAATAAATGTACAGCAAAACTCTGTGACGTTCTCATTGAGTTTTTGCGGATATAAATAACTTTGAAAATGAGCGTGATCAGTGAGAGATCCCGTTCGGGATCATACAAATAACGAATCATCTCAGCTTATACAGCAAATTGCTGCTAATCACTGTGCTACAATATTAGGGTAGTAGAGCCTCCAATAGATGAACAAACAAGGAAAGACACAGATTCCCAGAGCACCGAGCTATGAAGCGCAAACTACCTGTCCGGGTGACTTACCCAGACGGGCGATTGTTGCATACCGCCCCTGGACATATGGGGCTTTCACGTGGGTAGTAATTTAGGGGCCCTAACTAAAATCCTGCCTAAGCGGCAGGTCAGATGGTGTACTCACGACTGATATATTCGCCTCGAAACTGGACCCCAGGATCGTATCGCATGGATTCATGGTGCAACTTATGGTTCTCGCGCGAAACTGAGGGTTGCTCCATGAATCCATGCGAAATACGATGCTGGGGTCCAGTTTCGAGGCGAATATCTCAGCCGTTAGAGCACTACCTGAGCTGACGGTTGGGCAGTGGCTTAGTTAGGACCCCAAACTTACTATCCAAATGAGAATCCTTGTCCAGATTTGCCTGGACGCTGCGTTTAATTATCATTTGATAGATCGAAGCAGACACTGATGAAAAATGCCCACTGATTGCTTCGCATGTAAAAGGAACGCTGGCTTACCTCCCTCCCGAGTTCATCACCAGCAAGATTCTATCTACTAAACTTGATGTTTACAGTTTCGGAATAGTGCTGTTAGAGATAGGCACAGGTGAGATTAGTCTCGAGTAGTCAATGCCAGTAATTTACTAGATTTTCAGGCTTGCGCGCATACATAGACTCCCGCAATCCCCCTGGCCTTGCTGATTACTGCTCCTCAGTGCAAGGTTTTTGCAAAGGCAATGCTTGGATTGAAAACTTAATGGATAAGCGCACACCTGCTGTCGAGAACAAAGGTAGTCCACATAATAAACTTCGTTTTTGTCATAATATAGCATTCAGCTGCCGTCATGGAATGGTTCAGTGGTTTGATTCGCCTAGGTCTCCAATGTGTAGAGAAGGATAGGCTGATGCGGCCACCTTTCCCGCAAATTGTCGGTGTGCTATCCGATCTTGCTAAAGCCTTTGACCTTACTTCCCAGCAAGTCCCAGTTCTCCAGTGATCTTTTATAATAGCTTTTCTGCCTCTATAAGTTATGTATCTTTTCTGTGACTTGATTTACCACACTTTGTTTTTTTCAAACGGGTTTGAAAGATCTCCAGAAGCTTCACTGCGGTTTGTGTTAAACTTCTTAATTTTTTTTTTGTCGCAGGAAGGCGGATACGCTGATAGTTGTTTTACCAGATTTTTACCAAATTCTTCTCTGTTTATGCAGCTTGCGAATAAATTTTTTGTTTTTTGTCCTGTGATTGTCTCTTAGATTGAATACTGCAATCCAGCCTGCCTTTTTTCATGTGCTCTGAGTTTGTTGTAGGGAAGCGAAAGGCAAGCCTAATGGGTGTTCCAGATTCAGAATGGTGAAACGGAAAAGATCAGCCAGCGCTTCCGCCACAGCTAGAAATAAATCCAAGGATGGGTAAGTGTGTTTGCAAGCGGTTTTTTTTATTGGTTTTCATTCTGAGATTTTAGTCCAAGTAAAACCGTCTTTCCTTGCTCTAATAGTGGCTTAGTCATCATGCTCATTTTACCTGGTGAACGTTACTGCTTTTATGGCACAGCACGTGTGCAGTGCTTAGGTAATCCATATAAGATTCTGCTTATTCAAAAACTACAACTATTTATAGCTGGAGAGTTGGTCGTTGATAGGTATCGTTTGCCTGCTAATGGACAGTTAGATTTTGACTCTATGTATCCGGTATGCGCACCTTACCGGATGAATCGACCGGTGAGCGTGATCCGTCTGAGCATATCTACACACTTGTATGAACTAAGGGCCGCCTACATTCACATCCCCACCAGGAAGGGAATTGTAGCTTAAAAGAAAGCTTCATGTCCTGAAGCTTCAGGTATCTGGACTTCAAGCTGTCTACCTATCCGTAAGTATTTCTACCATCCTCATGAACATACTGAACAAGAGCGAGAAGATGTACAAGCCGCATTTTTCAGTCTTTTTTATGATCCCCTGATGTTCCCCGGCGGCCGACCATCTTTTCTCAAAGTCAAGGAAAACGCGCCGAAGTTGTACTGATTAATTAACACAGGTGCTAAACATGTTGCTGATAAGAACAAGTGAGTTCTTTGAAAAATCGAATTTTTCGACAACCCCAAGTATCGATTTGTGGTTCGTCGCAAATTTCATGGCTCCAATACATCATTTGTTCTTGTGAGCAACATCTAATCAGTGTTGGGTTAGATAATCTGTACAACTTTGGAAGCTTTTCGTTAATTTCGAAGACAAAATATCGAAAAGTAGACGGTCGGCCGCCGGGAATCATTAGGGGATCATAGAAAAAGCTGGAACATGTGGCTTGCACGGCTTCTCGCGCCTGTTCAATATGTTCATAGTGAAAGATGGTAGGAATACTTACGGATAGGTAGACAGCGTGAAATTCGGAAGTTCGAAGTGTCAGGATATTTTCTTTGGAGGTGCAATCTCCTCCTGGCGCAGATGTTAAGGCATGCGGCACTAGTATTCCTATGTGCAAGTGCTTTTTCCCTTTAGATTAAATTTTCAGGCCCTCTTTTCTTCACCATCAACAGGCGGCATACTAATGAAGTATAAGCTCAGTCGCTTGAAATACCGTCTGAAAGAGGTAGGAGACTTCTAAACTTCTCCTAATCAAGGTGTGACGGTAATCTAGCATTTTGCTAAGACCGGTGTGGTCAAGGTTCGATCCCAGTCTCATTCTTGATCCTACCAACCTCCTCCCCCCTATCCTCCGGGGACGGTAATTGGTACGTGTAATCTGTCAAGATTTTAGTAGTGGTCTGGCAATTGGTCGGCTCCGCAAACCATGGCATAGTGTCTTACGCATTCGGTGATCTGTTCTGGTTTGAAGGCGTACGTCTAACACATGCCAGCATGAATACTCTTTTATCCTTTATATGTGTATCAATAGTTCAAGAATAGCCAAAAGTTCTCAGTCGAACCACCATAAACTACACCGATAGCGCAGCCAGTAAAATTTGGGAAGACTTCCATCATCTTGAGATTTTTAATCATTATTCAGATCACTCCTCATTACGAAAAAGTCATGGATGCCATTGGTGAGAAATATCCTGCCGTTATTCTTATCGACCGCAAGCCTTCCCATACTTTAAGAGTATTGGATCAGCTTTTGCAGGTAACAGCCTTATCCTAAATCCCTCATGCAGAAAGCGAACTATATAGGACTTTTTCGTACCGTCATCCCTTCGCTCTTCAAACGAGTTCGATCGAACACTTTTCTTCAAATCGGATTATGCTCCCTATATGGAATTATCCGAAGAACACTTGCAAGAGGCGTTAACAAAGATAAATGTGATGAGAAGTAATTTTATATTTTGCTGTCGTAATGTTTTTTGGAATCGTTCGTACTTTTGGTCTCGCCTGAAGATTTTGTACGATGACAAAAAAGCTGAGGTCACTTGCATGCAACGCCAGATTTTCTTGTAATTGTGGTTCGTTAAGGCAAAGGTAAGCAATGCACAGTGATACCTGTCGGAACTTCTGGTTCGGGAAAGTCAACACTGGTTCGTCATATCATCAACGAAAGTTTGCAAATGTGTGTTACTCATTCTTTTCCCTACTCATAGATTCAGAAATAATTTAGAGAGAGCACTCCTATCTATTTACTGGATGCAGATGTGGGTCAAGCCGAGTTCACTCCAGCTGGTTGCATGTCGCTTTGGAAGGTTTCAAAGCCGATTCTCGGTCAGTTCTAGATCCCTATGAGTGAAAACTTCGGGAAAGTATGTACAGAGTATAGCAGAACTTCAATATCTTACTTAGATGTACCATGCACTCATCAGAAACAAAGCTACCCCTGTGCATATTTTTTTGGCAACATCAGCCCAGCGGATGACACAGAGAAATACAAGGTATGCATACAGCTCAACCTACATTACTTAGTTATTCGAAAGTTTTTTGAAATTAGATCTGACCATATCTGAGTACAAATTTTGCATGATAAGAGAATTCTTGTAACTGAAAATTGGTACTACAAAATACTTTCTGAAAGCTTAGTACTACCTCAAAAATCCGTTGAATGCTTGAGATATAAAACTGCACTTCGACTCTGATTACAGTTAAAGGCAGCGTCCAGGCAGATCTGGACCTTTGGGAATTTTACGTGGAAAGTACTTTTGGGGCCCTGGCTAAGGCACTGCTCAAGCGGCAGCGCAGGTAATGCTCTAACGGCTGAGATATTTGCCTCAAAACTGGACCCCGCGATACAGTTTCGGCCAGAACACACGCTTTGCGCCATGAATCCATGCGAAATACGATTGCGGGGTCCAGTTTAGAGGCGAATATCTTAGCCGTTAGAACACTACCTGAGCTGCGGTTGGGCAGTGGCTTAGTTAGGGCTCCAAAATCATCCACATGAGATCCCCATGTGTCCCCATCCCCTTGCCTGGACGCTGCCTTTGAAAGTCTTATATGCGTTTTCAGAGACATTGACAGAAAACTCATTGTTTTATATACAGTAGGATCTTTGCACGCAAATCTCACTCCAGTAAGGGGAATTTGCGCTTCTTTACTTTAACATAATATCAGTGACCGATAGTTCGCTCGGATGAGTACTGATCGTAATTTTCTTAAGTGGGGCCATGAGAAATCGTGGCATAATCATGCCATAAAAAAAGCTATTAAGCTTTTTTGGGATTATTTTCGAATCTCGGAAACAGCTTTGCAAAAAAACCTTCTTGACCTTCCTAAGAATTTGCAACCATTAATACAGACCCATAGATGCTGACTCCCTCATCTTTTGCCTACAAATTGCAAAGTATACATCTGCAGTCTGATCTTGACTCTATGGACTAGCTTCTATGATTTTTTCTATTAGATTCTGCGTGACCTAGCAGTTAAGTGTTCTTGAAAGCAAGTGTATGATTTTGATTCGAAGACATAAATGTTTATACTCTTGAAAAACTCATCCATACTATAAACAAACACTTCACATTCTGTTGCAGATGATATTCGATCGATTATTGAATGAGTTTCAAACTACTAGTGAAGTTGGATCACTTCTGATCATCAATACCATGGGCTGGGTGGACGGTAAGATTTTGTTGTTACTCGGACATTTATTTTTCTACTAAAAAGCGACTTCAGGGCTGGGATGTGAATTGTTGGATCATATATTTGACGTCGCACAACCCAATGTTGCGTTTAATTTGTCACAAGGTCGCGGCTCCTTCGTAGTAAGCGAACAGTAATAGTTGTGGTGAAAAATGAAGCTTGATTGGTATCTTCTAAACAGATTCCGAGCTATGGGAGGACCGTACTCAATATCAACTGCAAGTATAGACCATTCCAATTGAAACTTCATGATAGGTCTGTGTACTATATCATTTTTCGCTCGCAATTTTTTTTTTGTTTTTTTTTTTGTATTTTCCTTCATTATAAATGCTGCAGTCATCAACCAGCTCGCCTAATTTCGTCACAAATGAGGGATCTTGCTTTTTTGGCGTATATCGCGCCCGTACTGCCTCGTCCCATTCTTTCGTCCATTTGTGATGCGCAGCCATACTGTGTGGAGTTCAAGTGGGTTTTTGTGCCAGAATGCCATTTGATGCTATTATATCTTCTGCAGAAACATAACCATTTGCATACCGGATGACCATTCTTATGTGGACGATCGCTATTTCTTTGCAACTCTGAATGTCCAGATTGTTGCTCTTTGCTCGGAACTTGGTGACCAGCCACTGGTACGTTTTGCTTGTTTGAGATAGTTCTGGCCACGGTCTCACTTTCACCTTCTCGACTATCAATTTAAGAAGGCATTAGCTAAATGAAGGCTTTTTCTGCATTTCATATGTAGAATCTTGAGATCTTTGAACCTTCTGCAGGTCGTTTTTTGTGTTTTGATGAAATCATATTCTAAAGTTATACTTCGATGTCATGACTGTGGCCATTGCTTCTAGCACTGATAACAATTCAGGATGTCCGACGTTTGCTTGGTGATGAAACTTTACCCAACATTTCCATTACTTCCCCAAGCTCGCCACTTTTGCGATGTCATGGATATGGTAAGCTGCGCAGGGTATCTATCCCGTCCTCAGACTTTTCTTAAAGGAATCATAAGATCTGTGGATGTCGATAAAAAGATGTTCTACCTACTTACTCCTCTAACATTGTCAGAGCTTTCTTATGTGACAGTATTAGCGCGAGGCACCGACATGCTAGTGCCTCAGCTCCTTCTGGAATGTCAGGTAAACATTGGCGGCTTTTGCGAAGAAAAGAGGCTTGTAAAATTGCTCCCTATTTCTCAGTCGGTGACAAGCGTACCGTATCTCTCTCGTCCCGCCCTTGCGTCTACTTCTGGAATCATTTCTGATCTTTATGGAGGACTCAAAAATATCAGACATGGAAGGCGCGAGTATTTCCCATCTACAAATTGATTTAGTATTTAGCTTTAGCTCGTCGGAAAAATAATGTAGAGATGATATGAGTTGTTAACTGTTGTTGTTGCATGTTGAAATAAAAATCGCTGAAGTGAAGTGCTAAGCCATGGCGACAGTCAACTCTTTTCTCACACATACCATAAACCTTCCTTTATTGAGATTCCCTGCCGCAGTTGTGAAGGAATACGAGACTGTCTGAGAGAGCTAAGCCTCAATCTGACGCAAAGAGGATTTCAGGCTTTAAGTTTTATTCAATTGTCAGTTTCTTGCGTAGGGTATCTGCTCTCATTCATCTGGAATTTCAAGAGAACACAACTAGTAAATGAAGGGGGTGCTGCAACGTCTTCGAGTTATAAACAATAACAGTTAATTGAGCTAAAGGGAAGCAGAAACCGTATTAAAGAAGGTAAATTTCAAAAAAACTACATTCGGCAGAGATATTCTATAAGTAGTACATTTTTTAAGTAAAATCAGTGTAGTTTTTGTGACGCTGTCGAAGACAGTGTCCGGAGAATTCTCAGTTGTACTTTCCATATGTATACTGCGTGACAGGTCGCCTCAACCAAGGCAAACAGCTCACGTGGTAACTTGAAGCGATGAGATTTACTTCAAAGGCATTGTCTCGGTAGAATTTCGTTCTCCAGTTTTTCACCTTTTCGGGTCCTTCCCGCCATGAGGAATCCATATCTGGGGCTTTTCAGTGCATGAAAATGGCGAAAATGAGCTCTTTTCGAAGCTTTCTAGTCCGCATTCAGTGACAATACGCCGGAAGTTTTCCGCGCCCAGCCTTCCTCTTGCAGCTCCAATTACACGTATTCTCCACTGAATGCGGGCGTGGAAAGCTTCGGAAAAAGCTTATTTGAGCATTTATAGCTGAAAAGCCCAGATATGGATTCCTTACGACGAAAAGGTTCTGAAAAGGTAAAAAAAATTTGAAAGAAATTCTACCGAGACACTGCGTATAAGGCCCGCATGCATTAACATCCCCGGAGGGGAAGGGATCGCAGCTCAAAAGAAAGCTTCATATTCGGAAATTCCGAACGTTTGGATCACGCGTTGTCTACCTAACCGTAGATATTCCTACCATACTTCACTAAGAACACATTGAACAGGAGCGAGAAGCAGTGCAAGCCGCATTTTTCAGCTTTTTGTATGATCCCTTAATTTCCCCGGCGGCCGACCGTCATTTCGTCAAAGTCATTTTTCTTTCTTTGAAGTCGACAAAGACGTCCCAAAGTTGTACTGATTATCTAACCCATACAATGTTTTTGATAAGAACAAATGACTTAATGGAGTTATGAAATTTTCGATGAAGCACAAGTCGAAAGGGAGTTTTATCGAAAATTCTATATTTCAAAAACTCATTTGTTCTTATCAGCAACAAGCTTCCTGTTGGGTTAGATAACAGTACAACTTTAGAAAGAAAATTTTCGTTGACTTCGAAGGAAGAAAAATGATCGTGAGAAAAGACTGTTGGCCACCGGAGATCGCACAAAAGCAGAATAAATAGCGGGCTTGAACATGCGCGTATCTTCACTCTTTCAAACATCACGCTACATCCTTGTGCGGCTCAGACAAACGCGTTCGAGCCCTTGAAGTTTTGCGTCTTTTTCCAGCAGTTGCCTTAAGTAGAAGTCGCTGATTGGTCCGCTCGAGAAAAAACACGGTTACCAAGATTCAATGTTGAATGCACATAAGCAGCAGCTGCGGCTGAATTATTCAGGCCCCATCCTCACCATGCTTCCCACATAACCAACTACCAACTTCTTGGACATTGCCTTTGACGGCGTTGGTCATGTCTTATCGAAATCTCAAAGACAGTGCCCGGACAAGGTGGGGGTTTTGGAATTTTACAGCCATGCGAAAGTGACTCCCCTCAAACACAGCACTGCGCAAGTACGAGGTTATAACGTTTGACCTAAAGCAAGACATACAGTCGAGTAGATTTTCCGCTTAATATAGTGTGCTTGCACTGAAGGTTAAATACGGTAAAATTAGCGCGTGAACAAGTAGCCACGCCAGTAATGCCAGCATTTTGCGCGCGCAAATGGCGGCGTCACAAGCGTAGCTATTTCTTTACGCGCAAATTTTACCGCATTTCACCATCAGTGCAAGCACAGTATATTAAGCGGAAAATCTACTCGACTGTACGATCGGGAAGTGAGAGAACTTACGGGGCGGGGTCCTCCGAGCTGTCCAAATTCCTGCTATGCGGCAGAGTACAGTCCTTTTCAATACGTATTGGTCTTTTCTACCGTATGCCCTCCGGCCTCAACATGGCGTGGACTGGTGAGGCGCGGCCTTGCTTCGGGCCTGCTCGCAGCGGACGCTCGATTGGCGTAGCATGGCGAGAAAAGCAACGTTGCGCAAGCCCAAAGCGATGCGGCGCCTCACCAATCCATGTCATTTTGAGGCCTGAAGATATACTGTAGAAAAGACCAATACGTATTAAAACGACTGTACGCATACCGCCAAAGTCAAAATCGTAGGGTCCCGCAGCGATTCTGCGTCTAAGCCTTGGCCGGGACCGTCGAATTTCAAAGTGTAAGGCTTTCAAAAACGCATGTTCTCGCCGTTTTCGCGCCATCTCATGTGGATTTTCGGATCCAGCGCAGCGGATGACCCCCGGTAAGTGGATTTTGAAAGCAAGAGAAGGGTGATAAATTGATGGAGATAATGGTAATGTATCAATGTATCATTTTAAAAATCGAGTTTTTGCCCGGACACTGCCTTTAAGTCTACAAATCTAGTAGACCATGTAGATCAAAACAATGATCCATTCAGCAAATATAAATCACATCGGTATTCAGATCAGAAAGGCAAGGTGATGCTGGGATTATGCAGTGTTGCGTAGGAACTATTGAGAGATTTGCATTAAAAAAACTATGCAGTAAACGAACTTCCAAACAGCTTCAAAAACGAAGGGCTGGCGATAAGTTTTTCAGGTACGATGAACACATTCGTACCATCGGCAAAGAACCTGAAATTGTGCAGCATGAGCAGTGTAGTGAATGCTTTTGGAAATGAGAATTCACAAGGTCCAAGTTCCCTCTTTTTTCGCTGTCCGATAAACCGGAGCTTACCTGATAATGCGCTTATATACACCCGTCACAAAATGCTCATCAAAGTACAGTCCGAAGCATTTTGATGCTTGCGCCAAATCTTTGACTTCATTACCGCACGTGACGATAACGGAAGAACTGAATGTGAACTACTCTGAACACATGAAATAGAGTGGATTGTGACTGATACCTGTTAGACTCCGAAGAAATTTCTTCAATTTGCTGCTGCCAGTTTCCGCATGCAACGTGTCGCAAAGGAACTCTTGGAGCATTCATACAGGCTGACGAGATAGAACGGTCGTACATGGATTCAGACTCAAAGTTTCGAACAAGAGTAGTGCTCTTCTCACTAAACACAAAATTTGAGCATAAGTAATCAACGATGAATCGTCACTGACAATATGCAGTTTATAAATGATCAAGTGGCAATGACACCTCGATGGATATGCTAATATATCAGCGGTACTAATTCCCGTATCATCTTAAAGGTAAAGGTCTAAAGCGCATCCCCGATGTCGTCCAGCGCGGACAAAATGTGCATAGGGGTGGAGGGCATTAGGTCGCCGAAAAAGGGCGGTCCCGCGGTCATTTGCGACAGATACGCACCCTTGTACATGCGCGGACATGCGTTCCTGCAGGGAATCCGCGCGGAAAGTCTTCCAAATTCGGCGACCTAATGTCCTCCACCCTGTGCATAGTATCCATAGCCATTGTGAGTAATCAGAGCGTATACGGTACTTATGAAGTCTATATCGAGGGATGCAACGCGGTCTTTGCGCGCAGGCTTGAACGAGAGATATACCTTGATGTCACTTCAGTCACTTCAAGTCTAGAACTATCATATGCACGCAAAAAAGTGCCTCGAAAAAAGACGAGTGCAAAGAAATACCGTTGCGGAGGTTGCAACGCGACGCGCCCGGCCGCTGACATTGTCACGATTTCACAAGTAGTCTATATCAAGACTTGCTTAAGCGAAGCGTGCTTACGATGGACTGTAATCAAACAGAGCCGAATCGAGCGGCACACGAGATCGCGCGTTTGCTTTAGTCCCAAAGGGCCCACATTACGCGATTTTATAGCCTCGGATTCTCCAGACAAGACAGCTGTCACGAGTTCACTGCACGCCAATCACCTCTAATTTCGATTTTAGTTATTCGCGGATAGTCGTATCGAAAAACTATCACAACCGGAATGCGAGCCGACGGGGGGCGCCCATTACTTGTGGGTGTCAATCAGAAATTGCCGCGACGCGGCGTTACAGTAACCCGGGAGAGATGCAGCAGGGCCAGAGAAAATGTCTCAGAGGAAATGCTTACAAGGAAAGGATACTTGGTGACCGTGGCCTTTTGAAATGAAACGTACACCATTAAATGCATCTTGAATTCCAAATCTGTTTTTATTACCCTAATTTCACGCGTACAAGGCGCAGGGGATTTTTGCGGAAATCCGCCAGCCCAAACACGCCACAACACTTCGCGACCAAAGAACCCTATACCGGGCTCCGTACTGCCTGAGGGAATTAAACGGTTTAAGGTTCGCTTTCCGAAACACATTAAAGCGGTTGAGCGGCTTGTTTGAAAAATTGAAAAACGTGCGTCTCGTACACGTGAAATTAGGGTATCTGCTGTGTGCTCTTCCGAAAGAAGTTATGGACATTTCTTGTCACAAAATTTTTGATGCAGGATTCACCAATATCGCTAGAATGTTCGCGTACGCACTACAAAAGAACGTACAGATAAAGTAAAGCTTCACGCTAAGCTCAGGAAAACTGTCACCGATACGTCAGAGTCTAAAAAGCCTGGATACTGACGATTTTGACTGCCTTAATCTCGCAAAATCAATGTGAAAAAACGTTCATAACTTCGTTCAGAGAGTCACACAGCAGATAATGAACACAGATTTAGAATCAACGTTTCAAGACGCACCTACTGGTATACATCTCATTGCGGCCACGATCACCAAGTATCCTTCCCTCGTTAGGGGTTACTTTAGTATTGTGAACAAAAAGTACATATTCTGTCATCAGATAAATGGTAACTTCCATAATTCCATTCACTATCTATTTCATTTTCACAAGATTTGAAGCACTTCCATTATACAGTAGAATTTGATATGGTAATGTGAAAATATTCACAAAAGATGGGATATTATGCCTTGCGAGTCGGCTACCCGAGCTCTCCCCCAACTGACTACTGCCAGCCTGTCGCGCGCGGCGCCTGCGTAATTGACAGTCAAAAGTAATGGGATACACCCCGAGCCGACCAACGGAATCGTAATGTAATGCCGTCGTGTTAAGAAAATCACAAGGCGATGAAATCTTGCTATGTATGCCTGGCCCTTGAGGCTTTGGAAAGTTGGGATAAAACCGCAAAAATATAATGAAAGACAAAATTTCAGGATCAAAGTACCATTCACAATTCCTAGTCACAAGCCATTTGATCCAATAACGAGAACAAGGACGCTTTACATTCCGAAAAAAGAACCACTTTATCAGAGAAAGGTACCTCATTTTCCTCGGTCGTGTAAATAACGCGTTGGTCCAATGAGGAATAAGCGAATTGTGAGTAACGTCAATCCGAGACATATCGGGAACTAACGAGGACGATGATGACCATAACCAGCGACCGGGATTAGCACAGCAGTCTTTATGGATGAGATAAAGCATAAGCTAACGACGAATGAACAAACTTACTAATCTTATTTTTGATCTCCTTTTCATATTTCTTCCTGGTTATGACATATGAAAAAAGTGGGGGTTGAAATCCAGTTCGATATACAAGGGAATCATTACCACTGGTGTCAGTAAACCCTGTAATACATCTTTTGAAGCAGAGAAGAATTGAGATAGCTATGAAATAGCAATCGCAATTCTAGAGAGGCTCACCGTTAGGATTGAAAGTGTGTATCACATCAACTGAAGTGTCTGAAAGTAGTGTGGGCAAGGTCTGAGACAGATAGTACAACCAGTCCGGCGCTAACTTCACATCCTCTTCAATCACAGCCACAGCTGCAGCTGAAGGGAAAACGGCAAAGGTTGCAGATAGGGCTGACAATATTAGGGCTGAAAACAATTGTTGTAATGGTAAGAAACTATCTCTCAAGTGTGCAGCAAACATACATCCGTATCCGTCAGAGGCATTGACAGGCAGAGATCGTACATGAAAAAGGGTCGACAACTCGGCGTTTTCTGGATACTCCTGTAACAAAATGTAGCTCGCAAACAAAAATACATAGCATTTTATGATGCGAAATTTCGCACGAACCTTGTCATACGCTACAATGACCATCTGCGTGTTCAGACCCTCTTGCCGCATGAGAGACTCAAGGCAAATGCGTAAAGCATCTGTAGAAAGACCTGAAACTCAATCCTAAAGCAAAAAGTCCTAGTCGAAATGCTCATCCAGGCCAAGTTTGGACCTCAATAAAGGAACAATATGCAAAAAAGTTGTTACCTGCTGCTATAACGATAGGCATGTTGAATACAGGATCTCTTTCGCGCGATGGATCAGTCAAAGGACGTGGATGGATGAGACTGTCGATGCGGCTTTCTGGACCAAAGTATATGACTGTTTATCCAGAGAAAAAAGGCAAACGCCATACCATCACAAAATTCTCCATGACCATCATGTTTGAGACAAAAATGACGCCGAGGCAGATTATGGGGCATCAACGAGATTGCCGACTTGCCTTTATGTGCACGCCCCCGCCAAGCATCGACTAAAATTCAGAATCAACAAAGGGGAAAAATAGAAATCTATTTGAACGTACGTTTTTTCGGCAAACATATGGATGTTTTAATGGGTTTCGCCCAAGAATTTCCAGTCGGCACGTTTAGATCTTCAAAGGGGCTATACGCTGCTAGTCCTTTATGACCAACAAAATACCTAAATACTACCATGAAGTACTAACAGTGTTGAAGTTTTTTTACCAAGAAGCGCGAAATTTCAAGCGATGAATCATACTGGATCCCATCTCATAAAAGATCCTCTTCGCCATGTCGGACAACCTAAGAAGACCATTAGCACAAGAGGTATTTTGAAATGAGACACCAACATGTTCGATGCCTCATCGAAGCTCACAACTGCCATAATATTCCCCAACGGCACATTTTCCAACCATTCCTCAAGCGTAGAAGAGTCTGAAAATGTCAAAGTATTTGCCTCATGCTGGAAAAGGCGATTTCCCAAGTAGCCGAGCAACAGGAACCGAATGTGTTGAGATTTGGCAGATTAAACAAGCAAGAAAGTTCCTCACCGTCTTGATAGGTGTCAAAATGAGCCACAGACAAGATTCTTCCGGTTTTAGGTTCGATAGAAGCTACATTCAGACCCCGCCCAGCGTTGTTCAGGTCACGATCGAAAACCATATAACCACCAACGCACATTCGCGGTGAATCGTCTTTGCTTTCGCCAGTAAAAAAGTGCATGGGTATCTCATCTAAGACAGCAGATAGATGGGTGAAGCTGTACAGAAAAATGCCGATAAAGAGACTTACCTGGAGCACAAGATGTTTCCATACCACACCAGACCCATTTAGATCCGAGTTCGACACTTTGATCTGCATTTCGCGAACCGCCCAAAGCTGCCATCTTTTCAGGATCAATCCTAATATATACATTAGTCTTTAAAAATAAATCAAAACGATAAGGAGTATTACCTCTGGATGTCCATCAGATCCCTCGATGTATTGACAGCACCAACATCTCCGAGTGGAACATCAAAGCATCCTTCAATGAGGTGCGTTGCATGCTCATCAGATTGCAGAACAAGCTAAAACATACAAAGCTTTCGACCTACGATATAATACGCCATTCGAAAGGCTCTGGTGACACCACCTCCAACGATTTGAGAAATGATTTTCGTGGCCCTATATGCAAAATCGCCATCAAAAATAACAGGATTTACCAGTTCATGAGCATGTTGCTTCAGCCCGTGCTGTCCAAGAATGGCATAGGACGACGCTCCTCTCCACTTCAAGATTTCGACTGCTCCAAAGGCACTGAGAGCGGCACGAGCGTCCGACGAAACTCTCTCAGCTACGTCCCCGAATGACACACCAACAATGATAGCAGACGGCGGAAGCGATCTGAATGGACTCTCAACCATAATATCACCTTCATTCATCTTGTGAGATACAAAACGAAGAATGCTCATACATAAATTGAGAGAACCTAATTCGTATAAAAGATCTCTTCACCTCAACCAGTTAATCAAGTTTCCGTCCGATTCAGCCACATCAAATGATACCATCGATTCAACATCGCCAGTCGTACCATTCAGTGACACCAAATTCACTCCATTTTTGAGCTCGTATCCGTCAAACAATCTAAAGAACCCGAATAAGATTTGCTACCGACCAAAGAAGGAAGTTTTACCGTATATCATTGAGACATGCAAACGGTGGCGCATTAGCTGTTTCCGCATGGATGCGAAACAATATTTGCGGTGGTGAACACGACGGATCGTAGAAGCATTGGTCTAGAATTATCAGGCTAATCAGAACCAACGCCTTCGCGACTACTATGATAACTCAAGATAGATTGTTTCAAACAACTCCAAAAAGCAGCATTAGCTACCACTCAACTGCTGACCAAAGTAAGCGAAGAACACTGATATGAAAACCAACCGTCGTGTGTCCCAAGCCTCTCAATTTCCCGGTGATCGTCTTTCGCAGGACGGTGTCGTTGGTGTAGGTCTAGATTTGTTGTGATTCAATAATAAGAAGTTTTATGTACTTTTTCTGGCACTACAGACTAAGCTTGTGATTGGACATCAGCTCATTATGGTGATTTATCGAACTAGACAACGTGAAAAGAGTGACCAAAGCGACAATGAGTTTATGCATTTGCGTGGTAAATTTGGATACATTCTATGTCCCATTTTAACATGGTTACCACCACTTCGCGTACACCTTGCATTTTGTGCCTCTTTTGCTGCATTTTTTGAAAGGAACGTCCTCAGAGCTTCTTTGCCAACAAAGGCAGGCAGCTAACGCGTACAAGGCGGCAAAGGCCGCAATGCGGTATCCAGTATGAAGTTATTCAAGACACAGGCCAGTTTGTTAAATTACACAGATAAAGATCATAATCTTGGTTTCGCTGCTGGCAAAACGCAATTACAAACGCGCAAGCATGGTTTATCACTGCTTGCGGAAGATTTCTCTGGAGAAAATGATGAAAAAAGGCTTCATTGCATAGGTTTACCTGTGTAATCACTTTTGCGTGAGAAAATGTACTTCCCAAGAAACAGGAGCGATGAAGTCAAAATCACCGCGTAAATAACTCTTCGGTTTATCCGCATCACTCTGCAATCTAAATCTTCATGTTTTGACCTCGGAGTGCTCCAGCCTGAAATGGAATAGTCGACAGAGACAGACCTATAAACAATACAAATCACTGGAGAGTAAAAACAGCAAAAGTAAGATGTAAAAGTTGCAAAAAGGAGTAAAATTAAATTTTGGTGGCTGATAATTTGGAGGAAGAAAACGAAAAGCGCCTTATCTGCTTTCAAGGTCGATATATGCTGTCAGGGTAAGTCGTCAGACCAGATTTCTTCTCTTTGTACACATTCTGACATCTCATGCTTATATTTGAGTAGTCAACCATCCACTGTTATTAAAACTTGTGAGAAAAAGGCCCACAGTAGAGAAGAAAGTGCGAAAAAAGTGAGGTGCCGCTTCCTCGCCACTCGCCCCTCCCTATAGGACTGCGATTCTCTTGTCTATCTCCATATTTGTTGTGCGTTTTCTGGTTTCTATGTACAGTTCAACAATTATCGCTTAAGGCTGATACTAATGTCCAATAAAGAAGCCCTGAGTTCCCTAATTGCCGCGTTTGCAGGTTGAAGCGGCATAAGAAGATTGAAAATTTTAGAATTCTACTCTAGGATAAGCTCCCCATAAGATGCGGAGAATGTTTCTTCTTTCAGACTACCGTACAAATGAGGCGTACAATGAAGTGCAAAATGTGCTGCAGAAACATGTTACTTGACGGTTTTTTTTTCAGCGAAAAGGTCAAGGGTGTAGTGCCTGTTACTTTGACAAAAAGAAATGACCGTTGACCGTTGCGCTTACTTTATCGGTATAATATGCTTGCTGGAATGTCTTGGGGCTCTTTTCCACCTTGCGTATCTTCGTTTCTACGCGTCTCGGCGCACATCTGTACTTCAAAAAATTGTTGAATTTTCAGGTGAATGCTTCTTGGTACGTCTCGTGTTTGCAGGTGTATCTGCCATCGACGGCTTGCAATACGATTTGGCTCCTCTAATGATGCGCCTAAAACTGGTGAAACAATGCCCAAAAGCCGTGAAACAGTAGCAGCAAACCCTAAGCTGCGACGTGGGCCGGATGAAAGAGATATTACGTATGTTATCAAGACTAATGCAAAGAGCCACAAAAGCACGCAAAGAGTGTGCAACGCATCTTACGCTTTCGGTAAAACCCGGATTATGAGCTCGTATGAGACCATGCATGATTGCTCGCGATGAATCGGATGCTGTAGCCGCAAGTAATTTTTGCCACCTGACAAACGCCATATTCGACTTCATCCACTTTGCTATTAGTCAGATTACTGATTTGACCAATACCAAGTGGCTGTCCACTTAATACCCTTCGCTGTTGATCAAATCCATAAGGCTGCGTTCATACTGATCCGTAAGTTTTGGAACAGTTTCAGCACAGCGCTCGAGTTGTACGCTGTACTGGAACTGTTCCGGAACTTACGAATCAGTATGAAGCCAGCCTAAGATGGAGTCAGGTAGACATTTTTGCTATGGGTTAGTTCAGTAAGTTGACCAAAAGCGAAGAGAATCGATCAAGTGTCCCGACCTTATATCGGCTACTGTTTTTCCATAGGTAGGACCAGAGTAAGCGAATATTTTGTTCAGGTTGGGGTCCCGCGCAGAATGGACGTCACTCGCCATGCTGGCATCAATCCAAGTGACGTCAATTCTGCGCGGGACCCCAACCTGAACAAAATATTCGCTTACTCTGGCACCTACCATACTTACTAGTGAACCAGTAATCTAAAGCTATTTGGAAGAGCGTTCGCTTCGGGACCGCCGCGCGATTTCCCGCTATTTGCACATTTTTGAACTGAGTTAATTCTTTATACTATATTAAAATAGATAAAATAGATTAAAATAATTTAGATTAGATGGATTTATATATTAGATAGATTAGATAGATACCAGCGCCGATCGGGGGATGGGCGGTAAAACAACGACAAAGCAGCACCCAATCAAGATCGAGAATTAAACTCCGCAAAAGAGGTCTTTTGCGTTAATAAGTATTACGCAAGCCTATCCTCGGAGATGTTTCATGAAATTCGCAGTCTCAAATTATCAGAAGCTGTGATTATTTAGGACAATGGATCTAATCGAAGAACGGATCCGACAAAGAGCAGCTGTACGAGAAGCCACATTTGGAGGGCAAAAGCAATCATGGAATTATAGATCAGAAGTTAGTATTCAGTAATTTCGATTAAAAGCGATGTGCACTGAAACCACTCCCAATTTCAGATCGTTGGAAAATTGGGACTGGATAAGAAACACACAAATATATGGATAGCTTACATTGTCATAATTCTATTTGGATTCAGTGCGTTTGTGTATGTCAAATCAAACGTTGTTCTAAGCCGAAAAGAAGAGATGGAACAGCGAGAAAAACTACGTCGCGAACTGAAACTGGCTGGTGCGGATCGTAAGAAATTAGGTATTGTCGATGGTAGTTAGTCTTCCAGAATATTTGTTATTTGAGATTAGGTAGTTGTTTGATGGGTTTGTTTTGAGACATACCTTAAATTCTAACATAAATCGTTATTGCCTGGAGGTTGTATTTGTGATGCAACAATGTGGTCCTTAGTGGAGAGGTTTAAGCGCTAGTTTAGGGTTAACTAAAGTCGTCCTCATCCTAACAATTGTCATGTTCCCTTTTTTCTCCAAATTGCAAGGTAGACGGTGGCGATCACCATTTCGATTGAAAATAATTGAGAAACCATGGAAAAGTAACACAAAAATGATTGTTAGGTAGGAAAAGAACCTCGCACTTTTCCATTCTTAACTGCCTGTGATTTAACACATTAGCGACCATATTTTATCGATATCTGCCGTTTCGGACAACCGACCGATCTGTGTCACTTTCTCGATTACCGATGGGTCCTCTGGTCCGAAAAGTAGTTTTCTAATTGAAGTAAACCTAGAAGTTCATAAACATGTGGCGGCTCATGTAGTTTTATAATAAACTTGCAGAATCTGAAGATGCGACCCACTGTTGTCCGAAACGGCAGTACACCTATGACTCGTCGCGAATGTGCTAAAAAGCAGTGCATTTACATGAGTGGTCTTTGGAATAAAAACTAGTGAAGCTTTTCTTCAAAAGCTTTGGAAAAAAAAATGTTCAGTTCGCTAAATCTGAAACAGTCCCTTTTATCAACAAGGGAATCAACCCCAAGATGCTACCACAGGAGCGAGAAAGCAAGGCCTTTATTAGCGAGTATATGAAACAATTCAAGCATGCATGAGTGCGACTCTTACACGAGCCAGTCTCCACTCAGGCTCAACATTAACATTCATGGAACATTGCTCGTTCCTATATTTGACTAGCAGAGATAGATATTTCTTTGGTTTGGCATCATTATTCTTGACCTCCACTCGGATTCCGGCACGATGTCTTCTACGAAATACTATTGCACCAGCTCTGTAAGCGTGTCTATAAATTTCGAGACCAAAGATGGAATTTACTCAAGATACTTACGAATCAAAGCTGCGTTTGTCGCTATCAATGTCATAGATGTCTGCAGTTTCGTCCGCTGATGGAAGACTAATTTCAACGACAGGGGTGAGGCATTCGACTGTATCATCTTGGTTGTCGGCCATTAAGATAACCTAAGTAGAGGAAAATTCAAAAGAAGCTTTTTATCTAAGCGTCAATAAAGACATACGTCTGCCTTGGAGTTGCTTTCGTTTGCCACTGTTAAGAAAACCGATCCAGTCTCGCCCTCGCCCAACTGCACTTCCCTTGACAATCTGATCTCTGGGACGAAATTACGCGCAAAGTACTGAATTGTACCATGCACACCATTGCTGCAGGAACAAACCATAAAACCCTACCTGAATTTTGTAACGGATAGTGGAAGTGCCATATTCAAGTTTAACAAGATTGTGATCGCAATGTTTACATCTGTAAAAGTATGTTGTAAGGGATTCAATAAAACACTGACCATTAAGAGCTAATCATAAACAACTCTGTTTACGCAATACATGTTCGAAGTTCAAACTCAGTAAAATTCAAGGCGTTTTATTCAAAAAAGCATTACAGTGGCGGCTGTTCTGCTAAAAAAAAACCTCGCATATTTGCATGCTGAGATGAAGATTCAGTCCCAGTGAGGAAAGATGATGACAAAAGGGGACTCGCCGGAGAGAAATTCCAATTCAATTTGCTTATAATATACGTAAAAACTTGATATAATTGATTCACAATGTATAGAACAGTGTTCAAAGCACCGTCCACCCTAACTTGAGGGTCTTGAGCTTTTGACAGCATATGATAGTGGGGCCCCCTATCAAGCCAATGCCCAAGTCGGGCGCAAAATGTCGCTTCGGAAACGAGAAAATCGCTCCGGAATAACGAAGATACACGAGGTCCTCCAGAGGCACCGCCCTCCGCATCCATGCCCGCCCATCCGTGCGCGCCCAGCCAATTATCGTTCCGGAAAGCCGGCCTGTGGGTTCTTCGGAACGGGAATGTCGGGGTTTTCGGGCGGGCGTCGGGCGCAAAATGTCGCTTCGGAAATGAGAAAATCGCTCCGGAATAACGAAGATACACGAGGTCCTCCAGAGGCACCGCCCCCGCATCCATGCCCGCCCATCCGTGCGCGCCCAGCCAATTACCGTTCCGGAAAGCCGGCCTGTGGGTTCTTCGGAACGGGAATGTCGGGGTTTTCGCGAATTCTCAAATTCATATTCGAAATCAGGGACATGAGAAGGCCCTGAAACGACAAAAACCTGGAGGTCGAGAATCTGGGTGGACGGTGCCTTAATGACAAAAGCAGACGCAGCTACCCTGCTTTATAAAAAGAAACGATAATTAGAAAACAAATGGAAGACATATCTATTTACCTGACAGCTCTCCTGGCCTTCAGAGGCATTCTGACAGGACGAAGGGGGCGACTACATGCGAGAGGTTGTCGCAGGCGAGACTCCAGAGAGGGAGGGATCACTTCAGCAGCTTCTTCAAGATAATCATCCAAATTCAGTTCCGGAACCTAGAGCGATCTTATGTGCAAAGCAGTTTATTCCATAAACCATTACCTCTTCTGTAGGAGGATGTAAGGGAGTATGAGATACAGGTTTCTCAAATGTTTTCTTACGTTTCTGATAGATCGCTTGTAAACCATATCGGTCTGTCAAGAGACTGCCCACGTTATGCGAACGCCTATATAACAGATAATATGAGTATAAACGACACTTATGACTGGAAGGCACCTTTTGTTCAGTTTTACTTGATCTCTCTGAGCCTTCTCTGCAGCTGCGAGAACACGCATTCTCTCCAAAGCCTCACTTAACTCGCTATCCAGAGTGGTTTCATGGCTAAATAGGTGATCCTCAAACCTTGTTTGAGAAAACAACTCTACGGGAACGGCCATAGATTGTCGGTGTTGTCGGAGTTGTCGGGATTGCCGAGGTTGCCGGTCGTTGTAGGACCTCATGATAGCCTCCACGTTTCGCGCGCTCTCTAAACTGTCTCTGATCCCGACAACACCGACAACACCAGCAACACCGACAACCTATGGTCGTTCCCTACAGAAGCATGTATGTAGAAACAGCAAAGAAATCTTTTAAGCTATAGAGCTCAAATGATATTTGCTAACATATGTCCTGCATCTACAAATTTGTGTCCAGAATATGAACTCTGGTAGCCTCACAACAGCTTAGGGACCCGTCATACTTCGCCGAAAAAAGCCCAAAAGCGCCCAAAAAAGCTCGAAAAAGCCCAAAAAGCCCAAAAGCGCTGAAAGAAGCCCGAAAAAGCCCAAAAAAGCCCGAAAGCGCAAGAAAGAGCCGGAATGTAGAAACGAACTTTTGGTAGAATTCTGACATTATCTTATCATGCGGAGGACAGAAAATGACAAAAAGGCTCGGTTGCGAAGTCAATACACATGCCTTAGCGCGAAAACGTGCGAGAAGTGTTCCGGCTCTTTCTGGCGCTTTTGGGCTTTTTTGGGCTTTTTCGAGCTTTTTCTGGCTTCTTGGCTTTTTTCGGCGAAGTATGACGGGTCCCTTAGGTAGGTGCCAGACTTAACTGGTTCAACCGCTTCGTCCAGTCCAGTCATTCGCTAATGGTCGGTCAATGGCGAATGAGGTGAACCGGATGAACCGATGAACCGAATGAGCTCTCGCATCTGCTTTACCTATGGAGAAACTCAGCGCAAGAAAAAAAGCAAGGCTAAAATGGAGAACGAAAAGAATCAACTAATGTAGAGATGCTCCAGGTTGGTCCAAACAATGGGATGGTCGTATTGCAGGGAGATCATACTCAGAAGTCAAAGGAATCTATAAACTAACACAGGCCAATTGATGCTGGATGGTTGATCTGGTGTATCAGAGTCTCGTGTTGACCATCTACATGTGGAACACATTAGATGACATGTTTCTCCAACGGCTCTTGTGGTGAGGACCATTGCTGAAATCGAATCAATCGCAAGTGAAACAAGATTCTATAGCACAAAACTTACAGCAAACTGGACATTGATTGCAATTGACGCATCGGTTCCTTTTCACTCGAGCTTCTCCGGCAGGTATGTTTTCCAAACAATTAGGGCAGAAAGTAGAATCGATTTCATTTAGACTGCAGGAAATACACCTGAAAACGTCATTACTTATGAACATGAAACCCTAACTTTGTTCCAGTGTGATGTTAAGAGCCAAAAGGGGTGATCTAAGTTCAAAACTCATTATATTTTATGATAGCTAACTTAGAGCACTCCAAGCTTAGAGGCAGTGGCTCGGCAAATTTCAACCTATTCAACCGCTTACCTGGGGTTATCCAATGCGCTGATCCCAAAAATACACTTAGAGCTTGAAAATGGTTATAACGAGCGTTTTCCAATGCCCTTCGCTTTGAAATTGGACGAGTGGAAGAAGGCTGAAGACTGAATCGTCGGGACCCAGTGGTTATAGCGTTGCACTGGGCAGCCTCCAATGGTGAGAGGAGCTTTGCCAACCGAGCGCGTGTAAGATTGGCTTGCGCGTCTAAGTTCAAGAGCAAATTGATCGACAAGGAAGGCACGCTTGTTACCGGGATTGCACTGTTTTCATACGCGGGTGATGAGCAATCTAGCACGTCAAAATCCTGGGATTTTGAAATTTGCCGACCCACTGCCTTCAAAAGACACATCTTACTGATGAATGGAACCTACACTATGCTACGTGCAGCACGAACCAGTTCTAAAAAAGCAAGAGAAAGCCTGTCTGTACTGTCTCTACACAAAAGATACTTTCCCGTATCTTGCTCAAGTCTAAAGAATAATGAGGTTAAGGAGACGAACCTGAGAGCAGAGCAGTGGCGGCAGAAGTATAGATTGCATAGAGGCCACCAGTCATCGCAACCACATTGGTAAAGCACGCGATCCATATGAAAGAGCGCAGCCATTCTGGGACCTGAACAGATAATGTTCAAAACGAAAGCTTCAACAGATAGCGAACAAAACTTGGATATGACGCATTTACGTGGCTATGGCTCTCTTCAAGTATGGAGCGTGATCCTACACAAAGGCCAAGGAAAAAATCGACTTTTCTTACACACACTTCAAGGATCAGTTTTGAAGCACCTACACTACAGTGAGAACGGTTTGAATCTATACTAGCCCTGCGTGCGCAAAGCAGAAACCTCTGTAAAAGCCTTGAATGTCGTTATCAGTTCTTTGAAATATGTGCAACGATGCCAAAACCTTTGGGGGGGGGGGTGCAGACGTCTGCACCACTTCGAAAGGTCAAAGTTAATACAACATCCACTTTTTTAGAGGGAGAAATGATAGAAGGATGTTGATTTAGCAAGCGCGAAAACGGCCCTTCGTATTCATAGATTATGTGCTCCCCTTGAACTGTCGCTTGCGATGGAGCACGTTTGCGCAGGTTTGTGTAGAATGCTGCGGCAATTGGGGGACACACCGCTCTGTGCGCAGTGCTGGAACTGTTCCGGAACTTACTGGTCAGATGATCCCAACCTAGTTTTGCTGCAGTACTACCCTCTGTGCTATAGAGAGTGAGAGAGACGGGTACAGATTCTTATATATAAAGCTGAATGTCTGTCTGTATGTATGTCTGTCTGTCTGTCTGTACATACGTACAGGAGGTTCGACCAGCTTTAGGCGGAAATTGGATTGGCGGGAGTCCGCCTCGCAACAGCTCGCGCCGTTTCGCAGCTACAGTATTCTATCGTGCTGAGAACCCATGTCTGCGTCTCTTCAATCTCCTTAGCCTTTGCTTGGCAAAATGCCAGCGCTATGCTCGCAAAGCCTCTAGCGATGCGCATGCGTTGCTCCACGTAGAATGTCTCGCCTAATCCGGGATGAAACCGACTGTATGTGCGGAATAGAAATTTTTATTTCTGAACCGATTTGGACCAAACTTGGCACACATATACTTTGGGACGGGTAGCGTGTCATAGGCTACTTCTCGTCATCGATCGATATCGATTTTATCGATTTTTTGCAAAATTTGAGCTGCGGGGATGGGAGTTGGCACAGGGAGGTCGAGCATGCTGATTACAAATATGTTATTGACAAGGCCGGGCGGAGCCGGGTTTGCCAACTAGTTTGTGATAAATCAACCCGCACCCGAGCCTAAGTATGGCTAGAAATATTGCCGAAGTAATGGCTACACGTCTCCACAATATGCCGTAAGCCTGCGAACGGTAGTCAAATTAAAAGAAATGGTGACGAAATTCTTTTCTGCGCACCGTTCATCTGCGACGAAGTCAGCACGGCAGTCAGACAATGCGTAGCAAGAGCCCAGATGCAGAATAATATCATGCTTGTAAACACCCAACTACAACACCAAGTTAGAATTAGGCTGTATGATTTTGTCTCAAAGTAAACTCCATTTTCATAATTTGAGCTGTTTTTTTTTCTCAACGGACTTAGGTTACCATTCGATAGAGCGGAGAAAGCTCTACAAAAAAAATCATTAAGGGCGGTGGATCGGCAAAATTCAACAACTCAGGATTTTAACGCGATGGGTTCCTTATCGCCCAAGTACGAAAACAGTGCAATCCTGGAATGATATCCACGAAAGTCCCCTCGAAATGGGCTTTTCGTGCGAATAAAATGGACTTAGTCCATGCGGTGCGATAAGATATCGCATTTGCGAATACATTCATTCCATACAAAAATGCTTCAACTAACCTTTCTCCAACTTGTCTCAACCTGTTTGCTCACTCTTGCAAACTCATTTCCATCAAGTGGTCGATATCTAACTAGGCTGACCTAACATTACAATGTCACTCAAGTGGCTATTCTATTCTTTCCCACTTCGTTACACCTAACAGAATGCCATTCGTTATCGATGACTATGCATCTAAATCACTTCCAAGACTAAAATTCATGTAATATCCGGGCCTTCGCTTCAAAACTTCTACGAATCAGCATTAAATCGAATTCGTATGTGGAGATTTCTGCAAAAAGCAAACTTTGGCTGGAGTTGCACTGCAATCTGTGAACCAAAATGCTCCTTACAAGAAACCTTGTACTACACTACAACTCAAAAGGTTTTTCAAGTCGCAAAAACTTTGAATGCCAAAATACGACTTCGCAAGTGCTCTATATTAGCTTTTCTTTGTCTTTCAGCACTAATATTTGTAACTCTAAGGAGTTGAATGTATGGACTAATCTAGTAAGAAATTTTTCACGTTTCTCTAGCTAGCTAGCGGCACTTTAGTAATTCTTGCGGACCAAACTCAATTGCGTTTAAAATGCCGTCTCTGAGGTTCGGTTCTACGAAATTAGCCAAAGATAGCTTCTAATTAATCACATTGAAGTACAATTTTTTTTCAAATTTTAAACTACAAATCACGAATTTGGTTTTGGTTGATGATTTGAAGAGTCAACAAACTTTATCTGTTTTACATAAGAATTTTCTGACTGACCTGATATTAAGAAGCATTTGGGTTTGTTAGCGAATATTTGGGTGAATTTAATCTGTTTCTATGTTTTTATAGCGTTTCTATGAGTTTAGAAAGGAACACTTATTTCAGACTTCATAAAAGACATGTGACTTTTTCCACTCACCTATTACCTTAGGATAGGTTGAGGAACACATTCCCAAAAAATCGCAAACAAAAATGTGCAAAAAGGTCAAAAATGGGCTTAGTCCCAGCTCACCTTGCTGCTGGGAGTAAAATGGGCTTTCAAGTCCATTTAAAATGGAGGTAAATCCCATTTTGCCCCATTCTAAATGGACTTTTGACGTCATCATTTCGCAAGCGAGAGCTCAGGTAGGGTTAAATCATTTTCATTTCACCGCTTTGCCTCGTGGTTGCGATGGGATGAAAATTTTTGGATAACGCGAGCGAAAGCAGATTCCGACCACTCTCCACCGCGAACGAATAAAATGGGGCTTGAAAGTCCATTTTCCTCCATTATGGACTTTCGTGGATATTATTCCTGGTTGCACAGCATGCCTTCCCTGCCGAGAAAATGGCTCTCAAACTTACACGCGCGGGCCAATCTTACACGCTTCCGGACGAGTTGGCAAGTTCCTCCTCACCATTGGAGGGGTGGAGGACTATATGTCGCCGAATTTGAAGCCGCGCGGATTTCCTGCAGGAACGCATGTGCACGCATGTACAAGGGTGCGTGTTTGTCGCAAGTGACCGCGGGGACCGCCCTTTTTTGGCTATAGTCCTTTACCCCCATTGGAGGCTGCCCACCGCAATGCTATAACCATTGGGTCCCGCAACGATCCAGCACCATCAGCCTTGCCTCGTCCAATTCCAAAAGCAAAAAAGCAAAAATTTGACTAGGTTGAGATTTGCCGAGCCACTGCCTTTAAGGACCCACCTATGTCGTAATCCAGGGATTAGTCGGAGCCGATTCTCCGCCTACCTTCACTTTTGAGCTGGTACAGGGTGACCACCTTCACTTTTGGGTTTGCAATTTTTTTTTGCTAAAGCTCAAAAGAAGGAAAATAAGCAAAGGGAATGTAAAAGAAAGTATTAAGAGCATATATCTATGCAGTAGGTCGATCCAGGCAGTAACCGCCGAGAACCAGAATTTCGAATGATAAAATAATGAAAAATCGTGAAAAATCATTTCACTGTTACAAATCTGCTGGCTGAAGACCTCCGCAGTTGCGACTTCATAGGTTTTGAAGGGTAAATGTTGTTCTACCAGACAGTGAAAGAATCAGTTTGATTTGAGGAGTGGCCGCCGAGAACGAGAGTTTTGAAAAACCTTAAAAATCTTCTCAATTTTAGGTTGCTTAATGACAACTGACATTTAAACTCTTATAAATCCGGACTTTGACGGTGTGATGTTGCGACTTCATAAGTTTTGTAGGGTGAGGATTGCCCTATCAGAATATGTCTTAACTGTACCGATCCATTGAAACATCACCGAGATCCAGGCTCTTGAAAAAGCAGGTAAAAGACCGTTTTTCAGCTCATAACTTCTTCAGAACTGCATGAATCATGTTGCGACTTCATAGGTTAGATTCTCCTCTTCAAGAGCTTTCAGATGATATATAATATGTGGGGGATTCAATGTTTCTTGCGGCTCTAACGCGGGGTGGAGTACTCCTCTTCACTAATTCTCCACCCCGCCCATTTCAATTTATTGGCGGGAGGCCGCCAGTGGAGAATTAGTGAAGAGAGGTACTCCACCCCGGGCATATGCCGTGGGAGGCGTGAATCCCCCACATATTATATACCATTTGAAAGCTCTTGATGAGGAAAATCCAACCTATGAAGTCGCAACATGAATTATGCAATTCTAAAGAAGTTATGAGCTGAAAAACGGTTTTTTACCTCCTTTTTTAAGAGTCTGGATCTCGGCGATGTTTCAATGTATCGGTATAGCTAAGACATATTCTGATAGGGCAAACCTCACCCTACAAAACCTATGAAGTCGCAACATCATACACCTTCAAAGTCCGGATTTATAAGAGTTTAAATGTCAGCTGTCATTAAGCAACCTAAAATTGAGAAGATTTTCAAAGTTTTTCAAAATCCTCGTTCTCGGCGGCCACTCCTCAAATCAAACTGATTCTTTCATTATCTGGTAGAACAACACTTACTCAGACAGGGCAGGCGGGCACCGGAAAAATAGATTGCTGATCTCTCGCATCCCGCTCGCGGATTTTTTGGAAAGCAAACAGGACTTTTCCAAAGACCGCTTGCTGAGTTCTCGATTCCTCAGAGATTCAGCAATATATCTGCAAAAGATAAGAGCGAAAAAAATTCAACAGGCGGTCGCTCAAAAATCCGCTGACTCAGCAAGCGGTCTTCCGAAAAGTCCTGATTGCTTTGCAAAAAATCCGCGAGCGGGGTGCGAGAAATCAGCAATCTATTTTTCCGGTGCCCGCCTGCCCCCAGCGATTGTCTGAGTAGCCTTCAAAACCTATAAAGTCGCAACCGCTGAGGTCTTCAGCCAGCAGATTTGTGACAGTGGAATGATTTTTCATTATTTTATCATTCGAAATTCTGGTTCTCGGCGGTCACTGCCTGGATCGACCTACTTCCTTCGCAGTACGTTACAACAAAATTTGATTGATAAAATCTGTGAAGTCTCGCTTGCTTTCACTTCAAAACACACCATCTACCAAACACGTTTATTTTAAATATACATACATGCCGCCGTATACATAAATATATGCTTTCAATAATCTTTTTTTGCTTATTTTCCGCGCACTGGCGGCAACGACCTAGAAGGATAGGCTCAGTCGACGGTAACGCTTCCCCCCCCCCCGGTCGACGTTTTTGGGATGTGAGTGTTCGGCACTACCACCTTCACTTTTGGCTGGCCATTGGTAGCTGGAACCACCTTCACTTTTGGGGGGCCCGGCTCCACCTATCGCATCTCTGGGCTGGAGGCGGAGTTCTCCCTTCTATGCGCGGAAAAAATCCATTCAAGGCATATTTGAGTACTACTATGTGCCTACTACTGTATAATGACCAAGTTAGTGGTCCGTAGGGGTTTTCCTCCCAAAAATCCAATTTTCGGGTGGCAAAATTTTCTTCGATTTTGGCTTCAACTTTA